AGCAGGTATATCTCACTGGTCATCCCCAAAGCCAACATCTCCTTTGGCCGCCATTCCTTCCAGTTCTCTGCTGCAAATGACTGGAACAAACTGCAAAAATCTCTGAAGCTGGAGACACTTATCTCCCTCACTAACTTTAAGCATCAGTTGTCAGAGCAGCTTACCGATCACTGCACCTGTACACAGCCCATCTGTAATTAGCCCACCCAACTACCTCATCCCCATATTGTTATTTACATTGTTATTGATTTTGCTTATTTGCACCCCAGTATCTCTATTTGTACATTATCTTCTGCACATCTATCACTCCAGTGTTAATACTAAATTGTAATTATTTTGCACTATGGCCTAATTATTGCCTTACCTCCATAACTTACTACATGTGCACACACTGTATATAGATTTTCTATTGTGTTATTGACAGTGTCTTCACTGACATTTTCAACATGTCCCTGACTGAGTCTGTAATACCAACATGTTTCAAGCAGACCACCATAGTCCCCGTGCCCAAGAACTCTAAGATAACCTGCCTAAATGACTACCGACCCGTAGCACTGACGTCTGTAGCCATGAAGTGCTTTGAAAGACTGGTCATGGCTCACATCAACAGCATAATCCCAGAAACCCTAGACCCACTCCAATTTGCATACCGCCCCAACAGATCCACAGATGATGCAATCTCTATCGCACTCCACACTGCCCTTTCCCACCTGGACAAGAGGAACACCTACGTGAGAATGCTATTCATTGACTACAGCTCAGCATTCAACACCATAGTGCCCTCTAAGCTCATCACTAAGCTAAGGATCCTGGGACTAAACACCTCCCTCTGCAACTGGATCCTGGACTTCCTGACGGGCCGCCCCCAGGTGGTAAGGGTAGGTAACAACACATCTGCCACACTGATCCTCAACACGGGGGCCCCTCAGGGGTGCGTGCTCAGTCCCCTCCTGTACTCTCTGTTCACCCATGACTGCATGGCCAGGCACGACTCCAACACCATCATTAAGTTTGCCGACGACACAACAGTGGTAGGCCTGATCACCGACAACGATGAGACAGCCTATAGGGAGGAGGTCAGAGATCTGGCCGTGTGGTGCCAGGACAACAACCTCTCCCTCAACGTGACCAAGACAAAGGAGATGATTGTGGACTACAGGAAAAAAAAGAGGACTGAGCACGCCCCCATTCTCATCGACGGGGCTGTAGTGGAACAGGTTGAGAGCTTCAAGTTCCTTGGTGTCCACATCACCAACGAACTATCATGGTCCAAACACACCAAGACAGTCGTGAAGAGGGCACGACAAAGCCTATTCCCCCTCAGGAGACTAAAAAGATTTGGCATGGGTCCTCAGATCCTCAAAAAATTCTACAGCTGCACCATCGAGAGCATCCTGACTGGTTGCATCACCGCCTGGTATGGCAACTGCTTGGCCTCTGACCGCAAGGCACTACAGAGGGTAGTGCGTACGGCCCAGTACATCACTGGGGCAAAGCTCCCTGCCATCCAGGACCTCTATACCAGGCGGTGTCAGAGGAAGGCCCTCAAAATTGTCAAAGACTCCAGCCACCCTAGTCATAGACTGTTCTCTCTGCTACCGCACGGCAAGCGGTACCGGAGTGCCAAGTCTAGGTCCAAAAGACTTCTCAACAGCTTCTAACCCCAAGCCATAAGACTCCTGAACAGCTAATCATGGCTACCCAGACTATTTGCACTGCCCCCCCCACCCCATCCTTTTTACGCTGCTGCTACTCTGTTAAGTATTTATGCATAGTCACTTTAACTCTACCCACATGTACATATTACCTCAACTACCTCAACTAGCCGGTGCCCCCGCACATTGACTATGCAACGGTACCCCCCTGTATATATAGCCTCCCTACTGTCACTTTATTTTACTGTATATATAGCCTCCCTACTGTCACTTTATTTTACTTCTGCTCTTTTTTTCTCAACACTTTTTTGTTGTTGTTTTATTCTTACTTTTTTTGTTTAAAATAAATGCACTGTTGGTTAAGGGCTGTAAGTAAGCATTTCACTGTAATGTCTGCACCTGTTGTATTCGGCGCATGTGACCAATAAAATTTGATTTGATTTGATTTGATTTGACTGTACGTTTTGTTTATTCCATATGTAACTCTGTGTTGTTGTTTTTATCGCACTGCTTTGCTTTATCTTGGCCAGGTCGCAGTTGTAAATGAGAACTTGTTCTCAACTGGTTAAATAAAGGTTAAATAAATAAATATATATTGTTTTTAAATGCAGTCAGATAGATGGAATTTACAATATATCTGCAATATTAAAGCTGATCTACCCCCTAAAATGTTGTTTAAAAAAATTATAATCTAGTGACTAATGCTGGAAATTAGCGCAACCTAAAGCACGGCCCGTCCTATGTGTCAATGTTTTAATTGCATCCGTCCCACTATAAAATAAATATACTATAATTACATAAAATAGCGGCCATACTCATCACCCTGTGCCCTCTCCTCTCTGCCCACAGATATGCCAGGTGTTCAGCCCCATGTCCATGCTGTGCCAGGCCCCAGAGCTGCCCATCAGCCTGGGCAGGCAGAGGGAGGTGCCAGCACGGCCTGATGAGTTTGGCTTCATCCTGGACGACGTGCAGGCCGTGCTGGCCCTCAACAACACGGCGTTCATCTACTACCCCAACCCCGAGTTCGAACCCCTCCATGTGTCCGGGGTGCTGGAGCTCAAGCCTGGCTCACCCATCATACTGAAGGTGAAGGGGGGATTTGATTATCTCTCTCTCTCTCTCTCACTCACTCACTCACCCTCTCACATACACACACATGCATGCATACATACATAACAAACTTCTGCACACAGTTTTGTTACATGTATATATTCTACATAGTCTAGTAATATCAAATGTATGCATAGCATTTTCCAAAAACAATACCTTACCCAGTCCAATATCATGTCCTTCCTGTTTCTCAGGGGCGGAACTTCCTCCCTCCCACCAATACCAATGGCAATAACGGCAAGCTGAACTACACGGTTCTGATTGGTGATAAACCTTGTCTGTTGACCGTGTCAGACAACCAGCTGCTGTGTGAGTCGCCCAACCTGACGGGGCGACACAAAGTCCTGGTGAGTGACACACACACACACACACAGGCACATACACATACACTGGTCCCCATTCCACCCCTCCACCCTCGTGCTGTCCTGGGCCAGGCCCAGACTGTAATCCAATCGGACCCTTGGGTTATACTGTCCACTCTCATCGTTCGAACAGAGAAACAACAAATAACCGTTTCAATAAGAGGGATTAGGCAGACACAAACTCAATAAAGGTTCCATTTGTAGTTCTGAGACGTTTCCTGCTCTGCCACCTGGACCAATGATTGATGGGCAGCAGAAGAAGAGAGAAAGGCCACCAGACGCATTACCGTAAAATAGAGCTAGACAGACATCAAGGCAATATGTCTCTCTCTGCTCTGTTTTATTAGTGTATAACATTGGACCATTCAAGATGCATTTTCTTCCCGCTGATTCACAATTGTCTCATTTCATAAAACCACTTACAGTCGTGGTCAAAAGTTTTGAGAATGACACAAGTATTGGTCTTCACAAAGTTTGCTGCTTCAGTGTTTTTAGATATTTTTGTCAGATGTTACTATGGTATACTGAAGTATAATTACAAGTGTCAAAGGCTTTTATTGACAATTACATTAAGTTCATGCAAAGAGTCAATATTTGCAGTGTTGACCCTTCTTTTTCAAGACCTCTGCAATCCGCCCTGGCATGCTGTCAATTAACTTCTGGGCCACATCCTGACTGATGGCAGCACATTCTTGCATAATCAATGCTTGGAGTTTGTCAGAATTTGTGGGTTTTTGTTTGTCCACCCGCCTCTTGAGGATCGACCACAAGTTCTCAATGGGATTAAGGTCTGGGGAGTTTCCTGGCCATGGACCCAAAATGTCGATGTTTTGTTCCCCAAGCCACTTAGTTATAATTTTTTGCCTTATGGCAAGGTGCTCCATCATGCTGGAAAAGGCATTGGTCGTCACCAAACTGTTCTTGGATGGTTGGGAGAAGTTGCAATGATGACGGCACGTGTTTCCTTGCAGGTAACCATGGTTAACAGAGGAAGAACAATGATTTCAAGCACCACCCTCCTTTTAAAGCTTCCAGTCTGTTATTCTAACTCAATCAGCATGACAGAGTGATCTCCAGCCTTGTACTCGTCAACACTCTCACCTGTGTTAACGAGAGAATCACTGACATGATGGCAGCTGGTCCTTTTGTGGCAGGGCTGAAATGCAGTGGAAATGTTTTTTGGGGATTAAGTTCATTTTCATGGCAAAGAGGGGCTTTGCAATTAATTGCAATTCATCTGATCACTCTTTATGACATTCTGGAGTATATGCAAATTGCCATCATCAAAACTGAGGCAGCAGCCTTTGTGAAAATTAGTATTTGTGTCATTCTCAAAACGTTTGACCACGACTGTACATAGTTTTTTTTCATAATAACCACTGGAATATGACTTCTGTTTCATAACAACCACTGGAATATGACTTCTGTTTTATGGAATACAACGTTTCTGGTGACACCTCCCCAGGAGGTTCACAACGACAAAAGCTTCAGAATCACGCTTGGGTTATGGTATGCCCCGGTCTCAGTGTGTCCACACAATAACCCCTTTCCCCTCTCCCCTGTCTCTCACCCCTCTCCCCTGTCTCTCACCCCTCTCCCCTGTCTCTCACCCCTCTCCCCTGTGTCTCACCCCCTCTCCCGTCTCTCACACCTCTCCCGTGTCACACACCCTCTCTCACCCCTCTCCCCTGTCTCTCACCCCGCTCCCCTGTCTCTCACCCCTCTCCCCTGTCTCTCACCCCTCTCCCCTGTCTCTCACCCCCTCTCCCCTGTCATTCACCCCTCTCCCCTGCCTCTCACCCTCTCTCCCCTGTCTCTCACCCTCTCTCCCCTGTCTCTCACCCCCTCTCCCCTGTCTCTCCCTCCCCAGGCCCGTGTGGGCGGCATCGAGTTCTCCCCGGGCGTGGTCCACATCACGTCAGACAGTCCGCTGAGTAGCACAGCCATCATCAGCATCACCGGCGCCGGCGCCCTGCTCATCTTCTTCATTGTGATAGTGCTCATTGCCTACAAACGCAAGTCACGCGAGAGCGACCTCACCCTGAAGAGGCTGCAGATGCAGATGGACAACCTGGAGTCTCGTGTGGCCCTGGAGTGTAAAGAGGGTAAGGATTCACATTCTAGTGAAGATTCACATTCTAGGAATTCCACTTCTATGTTTTGATAGATCGGAAAGCAGTCTTTTAGTGTGAATCTTAAAGTGCATTGTGGTGTTTCTAGTATCCAAGTTGTCCAACCAACCACCTGTTGACAATGAGGTGTAAAGAGGGTAAGGGGCCAGGGGTAAGGGAAGGAGGTCAGATCGTTGAGATACACATTCTAGTCATTCCATTTCTATGTTTCAGATAGCTTGGTTTGTCAGATCTCAAAGTGCATTGTGGTGTGTCTCGTCCACCAGCCAGTTGACACTGAACTGTGTAAACTGTTCCTGTTAACAATGAAAGGGTTAGGGGGGTTTACAGAGACACTGAACTGTGTAAACTGTTTCTGTTCCCACTGAAAGGGCTAGGGGGTTTTACAGAGAGCCAGGAGTTTTTCCTGACCACATACCTGACCAGGAAAAACTCTGGACACTTGTTATACTCAGTATCATATGCAGAGTCAGTAACCCAATAATGTAGTGCTATGCTGAACAGTGCACTCCAATGTTACATCTACACCCAGTACTCTCACAGTGGTAGTATATCTCAAAAGACAGTGGTGTAAATTACTTAAGTAAAAATACTTTAAAGTACTACTTAAGTATTTTTTAGGGGTATCTGTACTTTACTTTACTATTTATATTTTGACAACTTTTACTTTTACTTCACTACATTCCTAAAGAAAATAATGTACTTTTTACTCCATACATTTTCCCTGTTACAGGAAAATGGTCCAATTCATGCACTTATCAAGAGAACATCCCTGGTCATCTCTACTGCCTCTGATCTGGCGGCTCACTATATACACATGCTTCGTTTGTAAATGATGTCTGAGTGATGGAGTGTGCCCCTGGCTATCCGTAAATTAAAAATACAAGAAAATGGTGCCGTCTGGTTTGCTTAATATAAGGAATTTGAAATGATTTATACTTTTACTTTTGATACTTAAGTATATTTTAGTAATTACATTTACTTTTTATACTTAAGTATATTTAAAACCAAATACTTTTAGACTTTTACTCAAGTAGTATTTTACTGGGTGACTTTCACTTTTACTTGAATCATTTTCAATTAAGGTATCTTTACTTTTACTGAAGTATGATAATTGGGTATGTTTTCCACCACTGTCAATAGAAATACTTATAGGTAGAGTCAGCGAAATGACGTTGCATGAGCAGCACCGCAGTTTGCGATGAGTAAGATGCAAGACATCACTCTCACACAGTTACAGACAGTATCTGCGCATGTGCACTGGTTTGCTTCACAGATCGTATGTCGCTGACTCTACCTTTAAGAAGACTGTCCGTTTATCCCCTCAGCCTTTGCCGAGCTGCAGACAGACATCCATGAGTTGACCAGTGACCTGGACGGAGTGGGCATCCCTTTCCTGGACTACAGGGCCTACACCATGAGGGTCCTCTTCCCTGGCATAGAGGAGCACCCTGTTCTTAGGGACCTGGAGGTAAGAGCTTCCATGTCAACTGCCTGACCAAATATCACAACAGCTGCCCTATCATCTACCTGACTGAATATCACTTTCGTTTAGGTCCTAAACATTGTTCGTCATTAAATCCCTGACATAGAAAAAGTGCTTTCCATCAATGCATTCTCAATCAAATAGAAAAAAAATGTAAAAGTTTAAAAGTAAATTACCGGCACAGTGGGGTTACGGGTGAAATGAAAGCTGTCGTTGTTTGCGCTCAGGCTCGGTAAACAAATAACACTGCCTTTCATTAGGGCTTGACGCAGCGGTGCTCTTTTTTAAAACGCAGTCAAATCTCCTGTTAGTAATGGTAACAACATGTGACAAGACGGTTTCTCAGAGCCGAGGACAAATTAAAAGTCTAGCAGAGAGAAAAGCAAAACAACCCTGAACTGACAAGCCAGATATTTAATCCCTAATAACAATGATGGACAGTGATAATATAACTTCTTCTAGCTGCGAGGCCCCCATTTCACAGGCTCAGAGTTGACCATGCGGGTGCCTGATGAGAATTCCCCGTTATAAGAAAACATAATAATGTTTTAATTGGTATAAATGTCCCCTTATATGAGGGGGTTTAATGCGAAATGAAACCTAATGAAAGTAGCAGTGGGCTCATCTCTGGCTGGTGATAGCTGGTTAATTGTTATTGATGTGGGAGATGATACAGGAAATAGCCCTTATTGGGCTTGGAGCGAATAAAGAGTGGATGGGCAATCTCATAATTTGTAGTGTGAATTTGATTGGACTGAATATCTCTCTCTCGCTCTCTCTTTTTGACAGGACTAGAGCTACCGCCATTTCATCTCAATGGCTCAAATTTACTAATATTAGCGACGACTCTAGGCCTACCTGTTAAATCTGAAGAAGATATACATTGTATTTTTCCTCTGAGAATATGGAAAATGTCTGCCTATCTTTTCTCCTGCTTTTGTGATAGTAATCAGTAGGTGGGATGTTGAATGGGAATGTTGTTTGATTATGGGGCTACAGTGGGATGTTGAATAGGAATGTTGTTTGATTATGGGGCTACAGTGGGATGTTGATTGGGACTGTTGTTTGATTATGGGGCTACAGTGGGATGTTGAATAGGAATGTTGTTTGATTATGGGGCTACAGTGGGATGTTGATTGGGACTGTTGTTTGATTATGAGGCTACAGTGGGATGTTGAATGGGACTGTTGTTTGATTATGGGGCTACAGTGGGATGTTGAATGGGACTGTTGTTCGATTATGGGGCTACAGTGGGATGTTGAATGGGACTGTTGTTTGATTATGAGGCTACAGTGGGATGTTGAATGGGACTGTTGTTCGATTATGGGGCTACAGTGGGATGTTGAATGGGACTGTTGTTTGATTATGAGGCTACAGTGGGATGTTGAACTCACCGCTGATGCGAACAGACAAGAGAGGATGAACCACACAGCACACACATCTCAACAATCCTCCACTCTGTTCTCCTCTCTCTCTCTCTCTCTCTCTCTCTCTCTCTCTCTCTCGCGCTCTCTCTCTCTCTCTCTCTCTCTCTCTCTCTCTCTCGCGCTCTCTCTCTCTCTCTCTCTCTGTCTCTCTGCTCCTTGTGTAATGTCAGACGTCATGAAATAGACTACTGTTTTAACAATAGCTCTCGCACGGTGTAAACCGCTGATGTTCCGTGTTCTCGGGGAAAGCGACGGCGAGGAAACATGTGCCTCCTGACAGACGCATCGCGTAGAGAGAGTGTTGCTCACTCCGATCAATCCTGACAGATCAAAACATTTAATCTCTGTAGGTGCAATCGCACGCCGACTGACTAGCGTAAACGGCGCGGGGACAATTTCCGCCCGTGGAGGGGAATACACCACACACGCGCTGCTTTCATCTTGCGTTAGCTTTGATGGGGAAGAACGTTCATTGTTTGGAGTTAAAGAAATAGGCAGGGCTCTCAAAAGACTTGGTTAAATGTACTCTACCTTCCATAAAACAAGTGCTAGGCAGAATGCTCTCCCAGATGTCCTCCTACGCCGACATTCCGAGCTGGAATCATTAGCACACACTGTCATTAGACAGAATCAGGGCTGAAAGCTAATTGATCCAGTGGAGTGATAGTGGCGTTGGCTGGAATGGGTTCTAAGGCCATGGAATGAGTTCTTCCCCATAGTCAGTCAGAGTCTGGATGTTGTGATGTCTGATTCCTCTAGTGTTGGGTCCATGTTATTCCCATGACTAGGGATGTTGTGATGTCTGATTCCTCTAGTGTTGGGTCCATGTTACTCCCATGACTAGGGATGTTGTGTTGCCATGTTACACCCATGACTTGGGCCAGGCATTTTCTCTGACCATGTGGTCCTTTGTAGCTCAATTGGTAGAGCACAGCACTTGTAACACCAGGGTAGTGGATTTGATTCCCGGGACCACCTGTACCTAAAATGTATGCATGCATAACTGTAAGTCTCCTTGACCCCAGCAGTCTCTCTGTATCTGAGACAACTGTGACCTCTGACCCTGAGACTCCTTTACCATTGTCATCTAACCATATCCCTCTCTCCTCCCTTTCCTCTCTTCTTTTTCTCCCTCTCTCCCAGGTGCCAGGCTACAGACAGGAGCAGGTGGAGAAGGGCCTGAAGCTGTTCGGCCAGCTCATCAACAACAAGGTCTTCCTGCTCTCATTCATCCGCACGCTCGAGTCGCAGCGCGGCTTCTCCATGCGCGACCGCGGCAACGTGGCCTCGCTCATCATGACAATGCTGCAGAGCAAACTGGAGTACGCCACCGACGTCCTCAAGCACCTGCTCTCTGACCTCATCGACCGCAACCTGGAGAGCAAGAACCACCCCAAGCTGCTGCTCCGAAGGTGAGGGGAGAAGTGTGTGTGTGTGACTCTCGTGAGCCTCTCGTGGGCCATCTCTGGCCTCATTAACACAGGCCTTGGCTCTGTCATCGCCTCTCTGTGTCTGGTGAGAGAGGTGAGTGACATCACTTCCCCAGAACACCTGCACAAACTCACACACACTTCTCCTCTCTCTCTCTGTCTCTCTCTCTCTCTCTCTCTCTCTCTCTCTCTCTCTCTCTCTATCTCTCTCTCTCTCTCTTCATCACTCTTCTCTCTCTCTCTCTATCTCTCTATCTATTCCTCTCTTTATATCTCTCTCTCTCTATCTCTCTATCAATACCTATATCTCTCTATATCTCTATCTATACCTCTCTCTTCTCTCTCTCTCTCTCTCTATCTCTCTCTCTATTGCTCTCTCTCTGTATCTATACCTCTCTTTATATCTCTCTTCTCTCTATCTGCGACTGAGTGAATGATTGGGCCTTCGCAGAGCTCTTAAGCATTTATAATAATATAATATATAATATATAATATGCCATTTAGCAGACGCTTTTATCCAAAGCGACTTACAGTCATGCGTGCATACATTTTTAATTTTTTTTGTGTATGGGTGGTCCCGGGGATCGAACCCACTACCTTGGCGTTACAAGCGCCGTGCTCTACCAGCTGAGCTACAGAGGACCACTTTTAAGAGGACCACCAGCTCTGAACAGCTGACTAATGCTAACATCAATGTTGCATTAGCTTTATCCTACACATTAACACTCATAGATTTCCACTCAATGGTAATGGACAACTGTTGCTGTGGGTTTGTTTTCCCTGTCCAAGCCTCTCTCAATTGATCATTAATACCAATGTTCGTACTTCTTATCCAATTCTAACTCTCTAGAATTGTCTGGTTTATGCTAAAACAAAGATAAGGATAAAACACGTATTCCCTTTGTAGTGCATTACTTTTGACCAGGGCCCATAGGGTGCCATTTGGGATGCACCCTTTGAAACTTGACTTTGTTGAATTAGTGTATTAGTCAAGCACCAAGCCGATCAGGAGACTGAAAAGATTTGGCATGATCCTCAGATCCTCAAAAAGTCTACAGCTGCACCATCGAGAGCATCCTGACTGGTTGCATCACCGCCTGGTATGGCAACTGCTCGGCCTCCGACCGCAAGGCACTACAGAGGGTAGTGCGTACGGCTCAGTACATCACTGGGGCCAAGCTTCCTGCCAGGACCTCTATACCAGGTGGTGTCAGAGGAATTGTCAAAGACTCCAGCCACCCTAGTCATAGACTGTTCTCTCTGCTACCACATGCCAAGCGGTACCGGAGCGCCAAGTCTAGGTCCAAAAGGCTTCTTAACAGCTTCTACCCCCAAGCCATAAGACTCCCGAACAGCTAATCATGGCTACCCAGACTATTGGCATTGTTTTCTTTTCTTAAGGGCTTGTAAGTAAGCATTTCACTGTAAGGTCTACACCTGTTGTATTCGGCGCATGATGCAAATAAAATTTGATTTGATTTGTTTTGATCGGCCATGCCTGATCGCTCCATATTCACTGTTTCACGGCGGTGACATGTGGAATTAACTTCAATGACATTCAAATGATCACTTTGTCTCAGAATCATGTACTGCTCTGACACGCACATCATTAGAATATAATTATGATTAATTAGCGGAGAACCAATTAAAAAATCTGTAAAAACCCTCACTTATATAATATATATAATATAATAATAAATGGGATTGTTCAAATGGGATTGTTAAAAGCCCTAGCTACTCCCCGCTCAATCAACACTTCCCTGTGGGTCAGTCTGTATCGTATACACAGTACCACCACTTCAATACAACATATCACCATATATGGTGCTGGAGGTGTTGTGACCATCTCGTTTACCCTTGAAAAATACGTTTCCGTGTGGCCGTTGTCTCTGTGAGGGATCACACATTTGCTCAGGATGCTCACTGCTCAGTCAGCCTCCCCAATGATTTGATAGGCATGTTGTAAATTAATTTCATCTTCCTAATTTCAATTGCAAACCCTCCGTCCTCCCTCGGGCCAAATCCTCCTCCCCAATGAAGACACACATAGATTCCTCTGTTCGCTAGCTGTTCACTAACATGGGAGCGTATTGAGCGTATCATTGTGCCAGGGTTGTGTCAGAAAATGAGCCCCATATTCACCTCATGAAGGAGAAATTTAACAGACAACGCTCTGATGCGGCATTTGATTAATGCTGTCTGGCCAAGGCATGATTAATCGCACCCAGAGCTGGCAGAGCCATTACTAGACAGTAAACAATGGGGCTCTCCCTCCTTCAATCCACATGAAACAATACTACAACTTACTATAGAATTCTGTAGTAAACTGTAGTATACTGTAGAATAATATACTAAACACTGTAGTATCACTTGATCATGTGTAGTACTTACTATAGAATGTTGTAGTATACTGTAGAATAATATAGTAAAACTACAGTTTTATCTGAAGAAATAACACTGTAGTAAATACTTGAGTAATATCCGCAAAGCACTACACTTTTTTTTTTACTATAGTAAATACTGCATTATTGAATTTGCATATACCCAGTACAATCCCCTCCCCCAATTTGTGCCACTCATAAGTGAGAAACCTACATGACAAGTATATACCATATATTGTGTTCCAGACAGGTTATAGAAAAGAGCAGAAGCTCTGAACTATCCATTCAGACCCCAGTCCTGCCTACCTACAGGTTATGGAAAATGTGCTCTTTTAGTATTTCTCCAGTAAGTTTCCTCAAGGAGAAAGCCTCCACTTCTATGTCATAGATAATAAAACAAAAACACTATAGTAAATACTACAGTTATGTCCGCAAAAACACTACAGTAAATACTACAGTATACTACAGTCCGCAAAAACACTACAGTAAATACTACAGTATACTACAGTCCGCAAAAACACCACAATAGTTACTTTAGTATATACTACAGTTTTCTTTTACTACTATAGTTAACTGTATATACAGTAAAGTCTCTAAAAACACTACAGTGAACACTATAGTATTTATACCATAGTATACTGTAGTATTTTTTCATGTGGGATCCACTGGCAGCTCCAGATGCAACAGAACAGCTCAGAGAGACACAGAACACGAAGCAGACATCAAAGTCATCTCAGACTAAAGGGGCTAGCTGTTGGAACACTACCAGACTAGAGGGGCTAGCTGATGGAACACTACCAGAGCAGAGGGGCTAGCTGCTGGAACACTACCAGACTAGAGGGGCTAGCTGCTGGAACACTACCAGAATAGAGGGGTTGATGCTGGAACACTACCAGACTAGAGGGGCTAGCTGGTGGAACACTACCAGAATAGAGGGGCTATATGCTGGAACACTACCAGACTAGAGGGGCTAGCTGATGGAACACTACCAGACCAGGGGGGCTAGCTGCTGGAACACTACCAGACCAGAGGGGCTAGCTGCTGGAACACTACCAGAGCAGAGGGGCTAGCTGCTGGAACACTACCAGACCAGAGGGGCTAGCTGCTTGAACACTACCAGACTAGAGGGGCTAGCTGCTGCTGGAACACTACCAGACCAGAGGGGCTAGCTGCTGGAACACTACCAGACCAGAAGGGCTAGCTGATGGAACACTACCAGACCAGAAGGGCTAGCTGATGGAACACTACCAGACCAGAAGGGCTAGCTGCTGGAACACTACCAGAGCAGAGGGGCTAGCTGCTGGAATACTACCAGACCAGAGGGGCTAGCTGCTGGAACACTACCAGACTAGAGGGGCTAGCTGCTGGAACACTACCAGACTAGAGGGACTAGATGCTGGAACACTACCAGACTAGAGGGGCTAGATGCTGGAACACTACCAAACCAGAGGGGCTAGCTGCTGCTGGAACACTACCAGACTAGAGGGGCTAGCTGCTGCTGGAACACTACCAGACCAGAGGGGCTAGCTGCTGGAACACTACCAGACCAGAAGGGCTACCTGATGGAACACTACCAGACCAGAAGGGCTAGCTGATGGAACACTACCAGACTAGAGGGGCTAGCTGCTGGAACACTACCAGAATAGAGGGGCTAGATGCTGGAACACTACCAGACTAGAGGGGCTAGCTGCTGGAACACTACCAGAATAGAGGGGCTATATGCTGGAACACTACCAGACTAGAGGGGCTAGCTGGTGGAACACTACCAGACCAGGCGGGCTAGCTGCTGGAACACTACCAGAATAGAGGGGCTATATGCTGGAACACTACCAGACTAGAGGGGCTAGCTGGTGGAACACTACCAGACCAGGGGGGCTAGCTGCTGGAACACTACCAGACCAGAGGGGCTAGCTGCTGGAACACTACCAGACTAGAGGGGCTAGCTGCTGCTGGAACACTACCAGACCAGAGGGGCTAGCTACTGGAACACTACCAGACCAGAAGGGCTAGCTGATGGAACACTACCAGACCAGAAGGGCTAGCTGCTGGAACACTACCAGACCAGAAGGGCTAGCTGCTGGAACACTACCAGACCAGAAGGGCTAGCTGCTAGAACACTACCAGACTAGAGGGGCTAGCTGCTGGAACACTACCAGACTAGAGGGGCTAGCTGCTGGAACACTACCAGACTAGAGGGGCTAGCTGCTGGAACACTATCAGAGGGAGAGGGACATTATGTCTCTGATTTCTTAGTAACCATTTCCAGGCACCATTTTGCTTTTGTTTTAGCCCCATTTGAGTGTTGATAACCTGGTAAATGCAATGTTAAATGTTGGCATTAGGGTGAGGAATTACATTTTCTCTCAGGGGATCATTAATGTTTATCAATTTGATTATAGACTGTGTTTAGGAGGTTACCTACCTACCTACCTACATACCTACCTACCTACCTACCTACCTACCTACCTACCTACCTACCTACCTACCTACCTACCTACCTACCTACCTAACTTACTTACTTACTTACTAACTCCCTGATCACTAACTGTGTTTCTATACGTCTCCGGCATGGCTTCTAACGTCTTCTCACACCATCCTTCAAACCGCTTCCCTTCTCCTCTTCTGTTCATCCATTCATGCCATCCACAGCCCTCCATGGCGGGTGCAAACTCCACCCAGCAGTCCTCCAACATCCCAGCATGCCTCTTTCAGTGTGTCTCTGTGAGGGCCAGCGGTGGGGCGTCACCCTCAGTAATGGGCTAACTGTTAACTGCTAGCGCTAACACACACACAGTCACCCTCAGTGTGGAGGCTAACTGTTAGCCGCTTGTTCTAACACAAACAGTCATCCTCAGTGTGGACGCTAACTATTAGCCGCTTGTTCTAACACAAGCGGTCACCCTCAGTGTGGAGGTTAACTGTTAGCCGCTTGTTCTAACACACGCGGTCACCCTCGGTGTGGAGGCTAACTTTTAGCTGCTAGCGCTAACACACACTCACAGACTTGCTGCTTGGTCCTGGATACCCGCCCAAAATAGACGAGACACCCAGACTCACTCAGCTGTGTTGGGAAGGCTTCATCTGGGCTCGGAGTAACACCCCCTCCCCTCCCTCTCTCTATCTCTCCCTTTCTCCTCCCTCTGTGTCCTCACAATCTCCCTCTCCCTCTCTCTCTCTCTCTCTCTCTCTCTCTCTCTCTCTGTCTCCCTCTCTCTCTCTGTCTTGCTCTCTCTCTCTCGCTCTCTCTCTCTCTCTTTCTCTCTCTCTCTGTCTTCCTCTCTCTCGCTCTCTCTCTCTCCATCTCTGTCTCTCGCTCTATCCATCTATCTCCCGCTCTCTCTCTACCCTCCTCCCTCTGCGCAGGCCATCTCTCTTTCTCTCTCTTTCCTCCCTCCCTCCTTGTCTATTTACTTGATTACTAAATCAATGCTCAAAGTGCATAAGCAGGGCATCTTTGGCACTGTGTCCAGACCAGCTTCCCATCACCGCTTCCAAGAAAACCTCTCCTCCACTCTCCTCTCCCGCATTTCTCTACATCCCCACATCCCCATCTGCCTCGTCTCAACCTCAGCTGAAGCACACCACCAGGCAAACTAACTAACGAGAGACTTCCACAACCATCTGTCGCATTTCTGCGCCTTCCTCTCCTCCGTCAGCCCCCTCTACTCCCTCCATCCCCCCCTCGCATGCACCCTCTCATCCTCCTTCTCTTCATGCATACTGAAATAGCTGCTAAACCTTTTCCACAGCTCCGATTTTTTCCACCCATCTATGATACAATATATCAGAAAAAAATAGGGGCTTTAATTATTTCCTTTTACCAGCAACCTTCCATCTGCCCCTCCTGATACACATACACACACACACACACACACACACACACACACACACACACACACAGGGGATAATAATCAGTAGGAGCTAAAGGTCCTCTGATTATACTGTGAGGATTATCTCAGTAGTGCTAGTAGGAAGACGTCAGCGACAGCACTGAGACTGCTCTACGTCCCAATGGTACCCTATTCCCTGTGTAGGGCACTACTTTTGATCAGGGATGTTGTCAAAAGTAGTGCACTATATAGGAAATAGGGTGCCATTGGGAACGCAACCTGTGCTCTGCGTCAGACAGCCAATCTTCTCCCCAGGAGCCCGAGTGGGAAATTGAAATCATTTCTGACTTCACGCTGTGGTGCTTTAACACGTTGGACTGGAGGAGGGGGCGTGGCGAGCAGCAGAGCTCCAACGCAGCTGTGTGTTTGGTTAACAGAGAAAGGCCTTGTGAACCCCCCTGCACTTCACATGTACTCTCCCAAAGGCTCATCAGCACACCTGGCCGCTGGAGCATACCAAAGTTGCGATAGGGGGATGTACTTGCCCCAGAGGAGGGTAGAGTGAAAAATGTTATCACTGAGAATTCTGTCCTTTAACATCTTATTGATTTTAAAAGCTTATCTATCACAATCAACAAAGCCCTAGGACGATATGATATACAGAACCCTCATTAATGATCTATGGTATCAAAACTTTGTTTGTAAGCCACATCTCTTGTTTCAGCACACATGCCTCAAACTAAATAATGGTTCAGTTTATCATGCATTTATGATCAGTGTGATGCCAGATGCCAGTAAAGAAATGTATTTGGGATGAGTGGGAGAGCTGTGAAGATTCATCAAGCGTTAAGCCTCCCTTTTATAGAGCATGGCTCTGCACGACATAATAATGCATCCCCCCGCATCTGCCATCCAGTAATTCTCTGGTTCCCATCTCATGTGCAGAGGCAAAACGACTGCTCTGTAATCAGGGGGAACTAAATACCGACAAGTTGACTCGGTTTCAGATACATTTTTTGGCAGTGTAAACCCTATAGGCAGGGCTTGGTTAGAGGACAGCATGAGGACTCCCTATAGGCAGGGCTTGGATAGAGGACGGCATGAGGACTCCCTATAGGCAGGGCTTGGATAGAGGACGGCATGAGGACTCCCTATAGGCAGGGCTTGGATAGAGGACGGCATGAGGACTCCCTATAGGCAGGGCTTGGATAGAGGACGTCATGAGGACTCCCTGTGGGGCCGTGCCAAAACAGATCATTCCTGGAGGGCCTGGTTTACACTGCCAAAAACACACACAGTTACACAGGTACACACACACCTTTCTGAACACATTATTTTAGAACACACACTAAAGAACATAAACAGAATGTGTGTTGTGAGCAATAAGAGGAGGAAAGGAGGGAGCTGGAAGAGGAGATAAAGACTCAGCCAAGTCATTCTGTTATTCTTCCCTCCCTCCATCTCCACCTCTCCCTTTTACACTCTCTTTTCATCCCTTTGATTGATGTCCTGAATTTGTCAACATGAAGACCATTTGGAAGTGTGCATGATTACAAAGAAGGGGACAGGGTCTGAGGGGAGAGGAGGGAGAGAGAATGAAGGAGTGGAGGGGAGGATTAGAGCGAGGGACACATGAAAGGAAAGATGAAACGTGACCTCCCTGACCCCTGGAGCCGAGGACTCTCTCACCCCCAAGCAGAGCAGGAAGTTAATCCCATCCAGGTGTTGTGCCAATTCTGGTTGGCAGGGGGTGCCAGGCCCGGCCTATTGGCACAGCGGGCACAAGCCTCCGTCTCTCAATGCGATGGTCCTCTTAAGAGGGGCCAGGGGGGCTCTGAGAGGAGGGGCAAGGGGGGGCTGCAGGTGGCAGCCGGACGACAGGGGGGGACAAGGAGGGGTGCACACACACACAATGGCCTAATCCTGAAATATTGATGCCTGTGCCCATGCCTCATTGAGGTGGTGGGGTGAGGAGGGGGTTCTTGGCAGATTAGCCACCACACAGGAGCCAGAGACATGTCAAAGGATATCCGATCCCCGCCTTTCAGACCCCGCTGTTTGTTATTGTGCGCATGTATATTATCCATTCACACGGTATGGCCGCCTGTGGCAGCCCAGTGAACGGTGCCCCGATTAGTCATGCCAGTGGAGTGCCCACCCCGGCATGAGAGACAGAACATAACAGAGAGAGAAAGAGAGCAGGGCGATGGATGTATGCATTCACTTTCTATTGTAACGGGATGTGCTGTGTCGTCCCAGACAGTGGGTGTGAATGGGCTGTGGAGGGAGGGGTTAATAATGAGGCCAGCATTATTACAGGCCCTTCTAATGATATCAATCCCATCGGGATCAAATAAAGGTTTTAATTGCTTTCTCTTGTATTAAGACCCCGGCGTAGATTAGGTGCCCTTGGCGTGCCTGAAAATAACAGGCATAGACCGGAAGATTGGGGGCCTTTAGAAGTGAGAGACAAATGTTTTTGCAATAATGTTTGTGTAACAAAAGCCCCTATTCATTACTACAGTCATCGTTTTGTGGGGAATATTTGATGATCATATTGAATATTTATGATGGTGATATTATAGAGTTGTGCGGGATGGTGTGTTCATGGAATGTCTCTCTTTATTTCAGGACGGAGTCTGTGGCAGAGAAAATGCTGACTAATTGGTTCACCTTCCTGCTCCACAAGTTCTTAAAGGTAAATTAACTTTTAAATGTCTGCATAGAGTTTACTCTTATACATTCTGCTTTGCTAACCCATTCATCTCCTCTAGCTTCATGTCTGTGAGAGTGTGTCATTTGGTAAAGTGTGTGTGTGTGTGTGTGTGTGTGTGTGTGTGTGTGCATTACCCCTTCTCTGTCAATACTCTTTTATCCCTCTATTCCATCTCTTGACTGTCCAGCAGTGTGTGTTTAGTTTTCCTTGCCCAGTTGTGTATCCAATCTAGCTTGTGGATTCTACTGTATCCATGTCAGAACCCCAGTCTCCTGTCAGGCATGTATGGGGCGGGGCGCCTGCTCTCTCTCTGAGACATGAGTGATGTCACCTCCCTCCGTTATAACTCCTCTAACACTCATCCCTCTCTCTCAGGCCAGAGGGGAGGAGTGGAGACACTGATGGATGACACATCTTCTCCTTTTGATTAACAACAGGGTTTTTGGAAAGGGCTTTGGCAATTGGCCAACGTTAGCCTCTCTTTTGATCTATCATTCAAACTTCTCCAAACCCGAGTTCTCATCTCAGCAGTAGTTCTACTTCTGGCGTGGACCGTACTGTATAAATTGGCTTATTTATGTGGCAAAGCTGTAGAGATTTTTCCTGGTCTGATCACATGGTCAGGAAGACTTCTGGGCCTTTAACTTACTTAACACATTTTCAACTTCTGGGCCTTTAACTTACTTAACACAGTTTCAACTTCTGGGTCTTTAACTTACTTAACACATCTTCAACTTCTGGGCCTTTAACTTACTTAACACATCTTCAACTTCTGGGCCTTTAACTTACTTAACACATCTTCAACTTCTGGACCTATAACTTACTTAACACATCTTGAACTGTGTCCTAGACTTATTAACTAAATGCAAAACACAGAATGTTTGTTTTGTACTTACTTGCGTCACATAGAGCTTGACACAGACTGACACCAACCTCTCTCTCTCTGTCTTTCCCCCTCCCTCCTCCCCCCTCCCACCTCCCTCCCTCCCTCCACCCCCCTCCCCCCTCCCTCCCTCCCTCCCTCCCTCCCTCCCTCCCTCCATCTCTACAGGAGTGTGCAGGTGAACCCCTCTTCTCCCTCTTCTGTGCCATCAAGCAGCAGATGGAGAAAGGTCCCATCGACTCAATCACTGGCGAGGCGCGCTACTCGCTCAGTGAGGATAAGCTCATCAGACAGCAAATCGACTACAAGACGCTGGTAAGGGGGGCAAGGGGCTGGGGTAGGAACTACATTTTGTGGGGTGGGGAGGGGAAGGAAGGGGTTATTGGCAGAAGGACCGTAAGACACTGTAACATCCCACCACCCGCCTCCTTTCACAACTGACAGGAAGAGGGCACACTGACCTCACTTTCTTTTGGAGACCGGAGCTGACAGAGGAGGGAAGAGGCAGAGAAGAGGGGGGAGGAAGCGAGGGGGAGGAGGTAGGAGGCAGGAAAGAGGAGAATGAGGTGAGGGGGAGGCGGTGAGGGGGAGGAGACAGGGAAGAGGGGGAGGAGGTGAGGAAGAGGGGGAGGAGGCCAGGAAGGATGTAGGAGGCCAGGAAGAGGGGAAGGAGGTGAGGGGGAGGCGGCAGGGAAGAGTGGGAGGAGGTGAGGAAGAGGGGGAGGAGGAGGAGGCCAGGAAGAGGGGGAGTAAGCAAGGAAGAGGGGGAGGAGGTGAGGAAGAGGGGGAGGAGGTGAGGAAGAGGGGGAGGGGTGAGGAAGAGGGGGAGGAGGTGAGGAAGAGGGGGAGGAGGTGAGGAAGAGGGGGAGGAGGAGGAGGCCAAGAAGAGGGGGAGGAGGTGAGGAAGAGGGGGAGGAGGTGAGGAAGAAGGGGAGGACGTGAGGAAGAGGGGGAGGAGGTGAGGGAGAGGGGTAGACTGTGCAGTGACATTTTCGTGCCTTGCGTTCTCTGAGAAGGTTGTTTCCCTGTCTGCTGGTCTCTCTTTCTGTTCTATTCTGATCACCTTCATTCCTCTCCTCCACCACTGTGACCTGAGCTGACTGTCAGAGAGAAGACAATACACCCAGCCAGACAGTTTGTTACTCGCTCCCCTCAATGTTTCTGTCGGACAAATCAAACCATTCCCAGGAAGTACACAGTGTGTGCTCAGATAGCTTGGGTTAATGTAGAGTTATTTCAGTTGGCCGTGAGATACAGTATCTCTGTCTCAATCAATCTAGAAGGATTGATGATGGAACGGCCCTTTTACAACATGTAATTATCTGCCCAACGATAGCGGTATAGAACTGTACTGGGAACAGCATAGGACCGTAAAGTATTTTATTTCCTCTTTCTTATGTAAATGGCCTCCTTCTTTCCCTTTGACCATGTAATTACATCTGGCTAGAGCCTCAATGGCGTCGATGATGATGATGATGATGATGATGATGATGGCTGATGTATTCACCGTGAATGATGATGACCGTGCGATGATAATAATTAGCTTGTTAACCGCTCATCGACTCAAGGTATCCATGCCGTGTCAGACTGCGCCCCCTGGGATGCCAATTTCTCTGAATACCCATTTAGATTACAGCAATTACAGGAAAGACTTTCACCAGACTTGACAGACACAGAATGTCCCCTTTCAAACCTGATATCCAATGACCACGCCATAGTTTAATCATCGTCATCCCACAGAATGTGTCTCCCTCTCCAAATATAATTATCAACTGAGACACAGCATACCTGAATCCCTCATTAACTCTTGATATGGTTCTCTATTCAATAGAAAAAATACCTGTCCCTGTTCTCTACAGGTGGTGAACTGCATCCACCCAGACAATGAGAAGAGCCCTGAGATCCAGGTGAAGGTGTTGAACTGTGACACCATCAGCCAGGTGAAGGAAAAGATCCTGGACGCCATCTACAAGAACGTTCCCCACTCCCACAGACAGAAGGCCTCTGACATGGACCTAGGTAAGATCCCCTCTCATCATGACCTGCAGAAACATCACCAGGGTCACGTTTATTAGGGCACTCTGTAGCAAAATGTTTTGCAATGGAAAACGAAAACATGCGTTTCTTATTGGAAATCTGTTCGGGACCGTTTTTGTACCGTTTTGTGCCGAGTGAATACAAGTCTGATCAGTCAATGAGCCCCTTTTTCTACAGCAACCATATACGGGTAGAAATTGAGAAAATGTTCCCTGGAGTTGAAAATGTTAACAAGATAAAACTTCTGGAATTATTATTGCAAATATATATTGTATCTTCTGCTTTTAATTGACGAGCACCAAGTTATTTTTCCATTACGTGGACAAGTCGGTGTTGATCAGCCTTCATTTATTGAACATTTGGAGGCCATTTTGAGAGTTCTCATGTGCCTCTACACCAGGGGTGTCAAACTCATTCCATGGAGGGCCTAGTGTCTGCTGGTTTTTGGTTTTTCCTTTCAATTAAGCCCTAGACAACCAGGTGAGGGGGAGTTCCTTACTAATTTGTGACCTTAATTCGTCAATCAAGTACAAGGAAGGAGCGACAACCCGCCGACACTCGGCCCGACGTGGAATGAGTTTGACACCTGTGCTTTACACCCATTAATTCTCAAGACTTATCCTTCAAATTACCGCAGTGTTCAGTGAGACTAAAGAGCAGCCTCCCTCCCTAGACCTCAGGAGAGTTGAGTCCAGCAGACCTCTCCACTCTGGCTCCTATGACTGGTGCTGTGTGATTGTTCTATTTCCTCCACAACTCCCCATCGATCCAGCCCTGTTGACCACATTCTGACTCACATGATTGATCAAATAATCAATGGAGAGGCTCTCAGATCGCCAAACCTCCTCAATCTTTATTTTTCTTTCTGTGAAAAGCTCGAAGAGATCGGCTTTCTTTTCTTTCTCTTCAGCTTTCTCTTCTTCTCTCTCTCTTTCTTCCTGTTCTCAGTAGACTGGGTTGTCATTTTCTTCACCAAGGTTATTTCCTAATGGTGTTATAAGACAACTAATTGTCTTTGTTTGTAGTCGTGAGGAGTGGTAAGCTGATATGCTCCCCCAGTACAATCCCATTCTACTAGATGAAGACATGTCTCTCAGTCTCACAATATAACATCCTCACACTACATTTTCCGGCTGCGCGGCCTATCACGACTAAATTCTTCTTAGTAATAGTATATTTATAATGGCATATGGAGCTGTGATGGGGGAATGTCTCTCTGATAAGTGAAGAGATTGGTTTAGCTTTTTGGCGAGCGCTCCGGTGTGAAATTGTTTAATGGCGCCCACCGGGCAGTGTGTTGTGTTATTATTGTTTGTTATTATTATAGGGAATTGGACATTTGTCTGAGGGGGAGCTTCTCACTGCATGTCCTCACTGCGTCTGGGGGGGGGGGGGGGGGGGGCATTGGGACTACAAGAAGTCGTTTAGGAAGAAATGGGTGTATATAAAAGACAATAGGTAGAAGGATATTATAGAATGGAACGGTCCATTCAGGGGGAGAGGAAGCATCTCTGCATGATTCCACTAACAGATCAACGGGCCTCCCAAGTCCGGACAAACTCCTCCCCCAACCTCCTCCCCCATATTGACAATCCTCAGTTTCCATCTTGCAGGCTCTCCTGAAAACAAATTTGACAAGAGTTTTTCTGTCCCAGGTATTGTTTTTAATTCCCCATGCCGGGTCCCCATGAGGGAGGCACGATAGGAGGGGACGGCGTGAGAACCAATCCAAGCAAGACCTGCTTTGTGTGTGTGTGTGTGTGGGAAGGTATAGGTACGTGTGTGAGGGTGTGAGGGTGGGGGGAGTGCATTGTGTATGTGTATGTGTGTGTGTGCGTGAGTATGCTGTATGTGTGTGTGTCTATGCATGTGTGTATGCAGCCATGCATGTCTTTGTGTACATGTGTGTGCTGCTTCCCCCTCTGCAGTATCACAACACTACCTCAATAACCTTCACTGCTTCCCCCTCTGCAGTATCACAATACTACCTCAATAACCTTCACTGCTTCCCCCTCTGCAGTATCACAACACTACCTCAATGATCTTCACTGCTTCCCCCTCTGCAGTATCACAATACTACCACAATAACCTTCACTGCTTCCCCCTCTGCAGTATCACAATACTAACTCAATAACCTTCACTGCTTCCCCCTCTGCAGTATCACAACACTACCTCAATAACTTTCACTGCTTCCCCCTCTGCAGTATCACAATACTACCTCAATAACCTTCACTGCTCCCCCCTCTGCAGTATCACAACACTACCTCAATTATCTTCACTGCTTCCCCCTCTGCAGTATCACAACACTACCTCAATAACCTTCAATGCTTCCCCCTCTGCAGTATCAAAATACTACCTCAATAACCTTCACTGCTTCCCCCTCTGCAGTATCACAATACTACCTCAATAACCTTCACTGCTTCCCCCTCTGCAGTATCACAACACTACCTCAATAATCTTCACTGCTTCCCCCTCTACAGTATCACAATACTACCTCAATAACCTTCACTGCTTCCCCCTCTGCAGTATCACAATACTACCTCAATAACCTTCACTGCTTCCCCCTCTGCAGTATCACAACACTACCTCAATAATCTTCACTGCTTCCCCCTCTACAGTATCACAATACTACCTCAATAACCTTCACTGCTTCCCCCTCTGCAGTATCACAATACTACCTCAATATCCACTGCTTCCCCCTCTGCAGTATCACAATACTACCTCAATAACCTTCACTGCTTCCCCCTCTGCAGTATCACAACACTACCTCAATAATCTTCACTGCTTCCCCCTCTACAGTATCACAATACTACCTCAATAACCTTCACTGCTTCCCCCTCTGCAGTATCACAATACTACCTCAATAACCTTCACTGCTTCCCCCTCTGCAGTATCAAAATACTACCTCAATAACCTTCACTGCTTCCCCCTCTGCAGTATCACAATACTACCTCAATAACCTTCACTGCTTCCCCCTCTGCAGTATCACAACACTACCTCAATAATCTTCACTGCTTCCCCCTCTACAGTATCACAATACTACCTCAATAACCTTCACTGCTTCCCCCTCTGCAGTATCACAATACTACCTCAATAACCTTCACTGCTTCCCCCTCTGCAGTATCACAACACTACCTCAATAATCTTCACTGCTTCCCCCTCTACAGTATCACAATACTACCTCAATAACCTTCACTGCTTCCCCCTCTGCAGTATCACAATACTACCTCAATATCCACTGCTTCCCCCTCTGCAGTATCACAATACTACCTCAATAACCACTGCTTCCCCCTCTGCAGTATCACAATACTACCTCAATAACCACTGCTTCCCCCTCTGCAGTATCACAATACTACCTCAATAACCACTGCTTCCCCCTCTGCATTATCACAATACTACCTCAATAACCACTGCTTCCCCCTCTGCAGTATCACAATACTACCTCAATAACCACTGCTTCCCCCTCTGCAGTATCACAATACTACCTCGATAACCTTCACCTTCACTGTAGGAGCTCCGATGTTCTGGAATCCCTCCACTCCCCAAAGCCCTTATCTACTACACTGGGCTCCACACAGAGACAGACCTGGGAGGATTGGGAAATAGGGGCAATCTCATCTTACTCTGGTTCTCCAAGTTCATCCTTTCTTTCTTCTCCTTTTTTCCAATTCCCTCTCTCCTCTTTCTTGGGTTTGTTTACGCTGGCCCAACTGGAGACTCAGTTTATTTGCATGTTGATAGAAACATGTACAGTACAGAGAGAAAACAATAGGAGGCTTTGTATTTCCTGGAGATTTCTGATGCCAAAGTTATTCTCCTCACCCCTCCTAGGACGTGTTTCATCATCCGCCCGGTGATTGCTGCTTTGTTAGTCTATTTGTGATTGGAATAGGAGATGACAGTGGCCGACGCCAGGCGGGAACAACACCGAAACAGTGACACATTCTTATATAAGCTCAATTGCAGCAGACAAAAGAATATCACCTCCTTGTTTGTTTTCCACAATATATTTTATTTTCATTATAATGTGAGGGAATACAGTGGTGGAGTTTCTCTAGAGTGGTGGGGTGGCATATTTGGTATGTCTTTGGGGTGGCATATCTCTTGGAGGTGGTGTGGTGTTGTATCTCGAGTGGGTGTGGTGGTGTGGTTTCTCTTGGAGGGTGCGGTGGTTGGATTTCTCTTTAGGATGCTGTGGTGGGGTATCGCCTGAGGGTGCAATGGTGTGGTATCTCTAGCTGAGACTGAAAGTCCAGCTGAATGGGGTAGCGGTGGTGTGGTCTCTCTTGGAGGGTGCGGTGGTGTGGTTTCTCCTGCCCTAGCTAGTTCCCAGTAATGACAATAACAGGCGGTTCAGCAGGGGGCTTAGCGCTGGTCGATGGTGGAGAGCACTCAGCGTGGGGGCCGGCGGCCCGCCACAGATGAAAGAGGAAGTAGTTCCTCAGCTAGCAGCGGTAATCACACCCATTGATCGAGAGGGCCCGGCGAAGGCCCCCGATCCGCTCTCTATCAAAGAGCAGAGTGGGTGATTAATTTCCCTCCCTTTCTTTTCCCTCTATCTCTTCTTGTCCTCTCTCTTGCCACTAAGACTTGTTCTCACACTTGTTCTACTTCTCGGTATCACTACTTTGTATCCTGGGAATCTCATGCTGGCCTCAAAGGAAGGATTCCAGGAACTCCAGATCTGTTTCACTGTAGCCCCTCGCCTTCTCTCCTCACTGTCCAGACAAACATGGCTCCTTCAGAACCGGTGTGTGTGTGACGCAGGTTGACGTTCACTGTCATGGATCTTGCCCTGGAGGCAGAACTGAGTGATTTTCACTAAATGGGCCAGCTAGAAAGTCAAAATTGGCTTTATTTTAAATATTCATGAAAACTAAAATTTGCTTTTTGGTGTTAATTTGAGGTTAGGGTTAGGCATTAGGGTTAGCAGTGTGGTTAATGTTAGGGTTAGGTTTAAAATCAGATTTTAAGACTTTGTGGCTGCGCCAATCAGTGACCACTCTACAGAGCTGCCTCCAGGGCAAGATTCATGACAATAAATGCCAACCTGAGTGTGTGACATCAATCGAGTGTACAAAAAGAGAGCGTGACATCGATTCTCTATGTGATAGTGATCACTGTATCTAGTGGAAAAGGTCATTCTGTGCAGGCTGGATATAAATCTGTCTTTCTCCCTATAGTGACTTAACCCATCTTTACCTTTGCCCCCTCACAGAGTGGCGCCAGGGCAGAGGTCAGCGTACGATCCTGATGGATGAAGACCTCTCCACCAAGATCGAGAGTGACTGGAAGAGACTCAACATGCTTACTCACTACCAGGTACATGCATCAAAATCAAGAACACACATATCTACATTCTGACTTATTACCAGGTACATGCATCACTATCTAGAACACACATATCTATACTACCAGGTACATGCATCACTATCTAGAACACACATATCTATACTACCAGGTACATGCATCACTATCTAGAACACACATATCTATACTACCAGGTACATGCATCACTATCTAGAACACACATATCTATACTACCAGGTACATGCATCACTATCTAGAACACACATATCTATACTACCAGGTACATGCATCACTATCTAGAACATATATATGCTACCAGGTACATGTATCACTATCTAGAACACACATATCTATACTACCAGGTACATGCATCACTATCTAGAACACACATATCTATACTACAAGATACATGCATATCTACAGGTGGAGTCATACCCAAGTTCACTCAGGACGGAGAGGGTATACCCTAGAAGTATAATTAATTGTATTTCTATAGGTTACACTGATTTATAGGGGAGAGGATTGAAGATAACTCCCAATACGCTGTACCGAAGGGACTGGTCATTTGCTAGCATACCAACAAAGTATGTTTGAGACAAGCAAAACTGATGAATGAAATGAACTGTAGTTTGTTTTCCCCTCCAGTTTGTATTTGCAATATCCAAACTAAACTATTCCCTCTCATAGTGTATAGTACAGCGTGGTGCATCATGTTTCCATGTAAATATTATGCTGCAGTGTTCAGTTTGAGGTAAACCCATGGTCCAGATTAGTCTCTAATCATTAGAGTATCCACTTCCAGGTAAATACATGTTTGAGATGATTGACTTCCAGGTACTACCATAATGTTGACGGTACACTAGATAAATTCATATTGCACACCCACACACAGGTAAACTCACTCCACTCGAGTGTCATTCCATTTCAGGGTAAACATTTTCAGCTAATCAGCCAGTCAAAATACTGGCCCAACCTCATAAATGTTTCATCAAATAGATTACCCTGTAAAGGTCTCTTTGTAAAACACACACACAACACTCACGGCTCTTTCTCATATAGACCTCCTGATCTCATCAGACAGAGCCGGAGGGAGATTTGTGTTTTGAGTTTGTTTATTTGTTTAACTGATTCTATCTGTACCGCCTGCCTCACCATATCTCCCTCTCTTCTCCTCCCTCTCCTCCCACCTCCCTCGCTTCTCCAGCCTTCTGAGTTCATCAGTCACTCTCTTTGTTGTTTCTGTTTACAAACGCCGCCGTTCGACAGACAAACACCTTCACCCACTACCACATTGATTTCCTCCCAAACACTGAAGGAAACAGAAACTCATTAAAAATCGGACTTTGATTAGAACTCCTCAAGTCAGAGTTGACGGTAGGAAAGCACCTAAACTAATATAACAAGAGTAAAAGTTCGAAAGAGACTAGAGAGGCTTCACAACATTTACATTACATTTTAGTCATTTAGCAGACGCTCTTATCCAGAGCGACTTACAGGAGCAATTAGGGTTAAGTGCCTTGCTCAAGGGCACATTTACGTCATTTAGCAGACGCTCTTATCCAGAGCGACTTACAAATTGGTGCATTCACCCTATAGCCAGTGGGATAACCACTTTACACTTTTTTTTTTGGGGGGGGGGGTAGAAGGATTACTTTATCCTATCCCAGGTATTCCTTAAAGAGGTGGGGTTTCAAATGTCTCCGGAAGGTGGTGAGTGACTCCGCTGTCCTGGCGTCGTGAGGGAGCTTGTTCCACCATTGGGGTGCCAGAGCAGCGAACAGTTTTGACTGGGCTGAGCGGGAACTATGCTTCCGCAGAGGAAGGGGAGCCAGCAGGCCAGAGGTGGATGAACGCAATGCCCTCGTTTGGGTGTAGGGACTGATCAGAGCCCGAAGGTACGGAGGTGCCGTTCCCCTCACTGCTCCATAGGCAAGCACCATGGTCTTGTAACGGATGCGAGCTTCAACTGGAAGCCAGTGGAGTGTGCGGAGGAGGGGGGTGACGTGAGAGAACTTGGGAAGGTTGAACACCAGACTGTCAGGTTGTGTCTACGTACACAACCTGACAGTATTGCACACGTGTTGTGTTCAATCATGTTGGTTTATGTTGTTGATGTGTAGGACTGATGATGCCGTCGGATCAGTCAGGCAGAATGTTTTTCAGAGTCGTGTATCAGTCCGTTTCAATAATGTCTGATGGCCGCAGACAAAGGGAACAGGAAGAAGAAGGAGAATCCTGTTTTAGCTGGCTTAAAAAGCCTCTGTGTAGCTACTGAATGAACACACACATTATTTTACACTTCTAAATGGACTACAGTGGCTTGGGAAAGTATTCACCCCCCTTGGCATTTTTCCTATTTTGTTGCCTTACAACCTGATTTTTGGGGGGGTTGTTTCATTTGATTTACACAACATGCCTACCACTTTGAAGATGCAAAATATTTTTTCTTGTGAAACAATCAAGAAATAAGACACTAAAACAGAAAACTTGAGCGTGCATAACTATTCACCCCCCCAAAGTCAATACTTTGTAGAGCCAATTTTTGCAGCAATTACAGCTGCAAGTCTCTTGGGGTATGTCTCTATAAGCTTGGCACATCTAGCCACTGGGATTTTTGCCCATTCTTCAAGGCAAAACTGCTCCAGCTCCTTCAAGTTGGATGGGTTCCGCTGGTGTACAGCAATCTTTAAGTCATACCACAGTTTCTCAATTGGATTGAGGTCTGGGCTTTGACTAGGCCATTCCAAGACATTTAAATGTTTCCCCTTAAACATTTTAGTCATTTAGCAGACGCTCTTATCCAGAGAGACTTACAGTTAGTGAATACATATTTTTTTATACTGCCCCCCCGTGGGAAACGAACCCACAACCCTGGCGTTGCAAACGCCATGCTCTATCAACTGAGCTACATCCCTGCCGGCCATTCCCTCCCCTACCCTGGACAACGCTGGGCCAATTGTGCGCCGCCCATGAGTCTCCCGGTCGCGGCCGGCTGCGACAGAGCCTGGATTCGAACCAGGATCTCTAGTGGCACAGTTAGCACTGCGATGCAGTGCCTTAGACCACTGCGCCACTCAGGAGCCCTTAAACCACTTGAGTGTTGCTTAAGCAGTATGCTTAGGGTCATTGTCCTGCTGGAAGGTGAACCTCTGTCCCAGTCTCAAATCTCTGGAAGACTGAAACAGGTTTCCCTCAAGAATGTCCCTGTATTTAGCGCCATCCATCATTCCTTCAATTCTGACCAGTTTCCCAGTCCCTGCCGATGAAAAACATCCCCACAGCATGATGCTGCCACCACCATGCTTCACTGTGGGGATGGTGTTCTCGGGGTGATGAGAGGTGTTGGGTTTGCGCCAGACATAGCGTTTTCCTTGATGGCCAAAAAGCTTAATTTTAGTCTCATCTGACCAGAGTACCTTTTTCCATATGTTTTGGGAGTCTCCCACATGCCTTTTGGCGAACACCAAACGTGTTTGCTTATTTTATTCTTTAAGCAATGGCTTTTTTTCTGGCCACTCTTCCGTAAAGCCCAGCTCTGTGGAGTGTACGGCTTAAAGTTGTCCTATGGACAGATACTCCAATCTCCGCTGTGTAGCTTTGCAGCTCCTTCAGGGTTCTCTTTGGTCTTGCTGATTAATGCACTCCTTGCCTGGTCCGTGAGTTTTGGTGGGCGGCCCTCTCTTGGCAGGTTTGTTGTGGTGCCATATTCTTTCCATTTTTTAATAATGGATTTAATGGTTCAAAGTTTCGGATATTTTTTTATAACCCAACCCTGATCTGTACTTCTCCACAACTTTGTCCCTGACCTGTTTGGAGAGCTCCTTGGTCTTCATGGTTCTGCTTGCTTGGTGGTGCCCCTTGCTTAGTGGTGTTGCAGACTCTGGGGCCATTCAGAACAGGTGTACAGTTGAAGTCGGAAGTTTACATACCCTTAGGTTGAAGTCATTAAAACTATTTTTTCAACCACTCCACAAATATCTTGTTAACAAACTATAGTTTTGGCAAGTCGGTTAGGACATTTACTTTGTGCATGACACAAGTAATCTTTCCAACAATTGTTTACAGACAGATTATTTCACTTATAATTCACTGTATCACAATTCCAGTGGGTCAGAAGTTTACATACACTAAGTTGACTGTGCCTTTAAACAGCTTGGAAAATTCCAGAAAATTATGTCATGGCTTTAGAAGCTTCTGATAGGCTAAATGACATCATTTGAGTCAATTGGAGGTGTACCTGTGGATGTATTTCAAGGCCTACCTTCAAACTCAGTGCCTCTTTGCTTGACATCATGGGAAAATCAAAAGAAATCAGCCAAGACCTCAGAAAAACAATTGTAGACCTCCACAAGTCTGGTTCATCCTTGGGAGCAATTTACAAACGCCTGAAGGTACCACGTTCATCTGTAACAAACAATGGTACGCAAGTATAAACACCATGGGACCACACAGACGTCATATCGCTCAGGAAGGAGACGCGTTCTATCTCCTCGAGATGAACGTACTTTGGTGCGAAAAGTGCAAATCAATCCCAGAACAACAGCAAAGGACCTTGTGAAAATGCTGGAGGAAACAGGTACAAAAGTATCTATATCCACAGTAAAACGAGTCCTATATCGACATAACCTGAAAGGCCGCTCAGCAAGGAAGAAGCCACTGCTCCAAAACCGTCATAAAAAAGCCAGACTACGGTTTGCAACTGCACATGGGGACAAAGATCATACTTTTTGGAGAAATGTCCTCTGGTCTGATGAAACAAAAATAGAACTGTTTGGCCATAATGACCATCGTTATGTTTGGAGGAAAAAGGGGGTTGCTTGCAAGCCGAAGAACACCATCCCAACCGTGAAGCACGGGGGTGGCAGCATCATGCTGTGGGGGTGCTTTGCTGCAGGAGGGACTGGTGAACTTCACAAAATAGATGGCATCATGAGGAAGGAAAATTATGTGGATATATTGAAGCAACATCTCAAGACATCAGTCAGGAAGTTAAAGCTTGGTCGCAAATGGGTCTTATAAATGGACAATGACCCCAAGCATACTTCCAAATGTTGTGGAAAATTGGCTTAAGGACAACAAAAAGTGAAGGTATTGGAGTGGTCATCACAAAGCCCTGACCTCAATCCTATAGAAAATGTGTGGGCAGAACTGAAAAAGTGTGTGCGAGCAAGGAGGCCTACAAACCTGATTGAGTTACACCAGCTCTGTCAGGAGGAATGGGCCAAAATTCACCCAATTTATTGTGGGAAGCTTGTGGAAGGCTACCCGAAACGTTTGACCCAAGTTAAACAATTTAAAGGCAATGCTACTAAATACTAATTGAGTGTATGTAAACTTCTGACCCACTGGGAATGTGATGAAAGAAATAAAAGCTGAAAGAAATCATTCTCTCTACTATTATTCTGACATTTCACATTCTTAAAATAAAGTGCTGATCCTAACTGACCTAACACAGGGAACTTTTACTAGGATTAAATGTCAGGAATTGTGAAAAACTGAGTTTAAATGTATTTGGCTAAGGTGTATGTAAACTTCCGACTTCAACTGTATATATACTGAGATCATGTGACACTTAGATTGCACACAAGTGGACTTTATTTAACTAATTATGTGACTTCTGAAGGTAATTGGTTGCACCAGATCTTATTTAGGGGCTTCATAGCAAAGGGGGTGAATACATATGCACGCACCACTTTTCCATTATTTATTTTTTAGAATTTTTTGAAACAAGTAATTTTTTTCATTTCACTTCACCAATTTTGACTATTTTGTGTATGTCCATTACATGAAATCCAAATAAAAATCCATTTAAATTACAGGTTGTAATGGAAAAACGCCAAGGGGGATGAATACTTTTGCAAGGCACTGTATGTTGATGTTGTGAGTGAAAGAGCAAGTAGGTTTTAGATCTCAAAACAGTAATTTCAGTAAAAATATAAATGCGTGTTGAGTTTGAAATCACCTACAGTGAGGGAAAAAAGTATTTGATCCCCTGCTGATTTTGTACGTTTGCTCACTGACAAAGAAATTATCAGTCTATAATTTTAATGGTAGGTTTATTTGAACAATGAGAGACAGAATAACAACAAAAAAATTCAGAAAAACTGTCAAAAATGTTATAAATTGATTTGCATTTTAATGAGGGAAATAAATCTAATCTCAGCTTGTTACCTGTATAAAAGACACCTGTCCACAGAAGCAATCAATCAATCAGATTCCAAACTCTCCACCATGGCCAAGACCAAAGAGCTCTCCAAGGATGTCAGGGACAAAATTGTAGACCTACACAAGGCTGGAATGGGCTACAAGACCATCGCCAAGCAGCTTGGTGAGAAGGTGACAACAGTTGGTGCGATTATTCGCAAATGGAAGAAACACAAAATAACTGTCAATCTCCCTCGGCCTGGGTCTCCATGCAAGATCTCACCTCGTGGAGTTGCAATGATCATGAGAACGGTGAGGAATCAGCCCAGAACTACACGGGAGGATCTTGTCAATGATCTCAAGGCAGCTGGTACCATAGTCACCAAGAAAACAATTGGTAACACACTACGCCGCGAAGGACTGAAATCCTGCAGCGCCCGCAAGGTCCCCCTGCTCAAGAAAGCACATATACAGGGCCGTCTGAAGTTTGCTAATGAACATCTGAATGATTCAGAGGAGAACTGGGTGAAAGTGTTGTGGTCAGATGAGACCAAAATTGAGCTCTTTGGCATCAACTCAACTCGCCGTGTTTGGAGGAGGAGGAATGCTGCCTATGACCCCAAGAACACCATCCCCACCGTCAAACATGGAGGTGGAAACATTATGCTTTGGGGGTGTTTTTCTGCTAAGGGGACAGGACAACTTCACCGCATCAAAGGGACGATGGACAGGGCCATGTACCGTCAAATCTTGGGTGAGAACCTCCTTCCCTCAGCCAGGGCATTGAAAATGGGCCGTGGATGGGTATTCCAGCATGACAATGACCCAAAACACACAGCCAAGGCAACAAAGGAGTGGCTCAAGAAGAAGCACATTAAGGTCCTGCAGTGGCCTAGCCAGTCTCCAGACCTTAATCCCATAGAAAATCTGTGGAGGGAGCTGAAGGTTCGAGTTGCCAAACATCAGCCTCGAAACCTTAATGACTTAGAGAAGATCTGCAAAGAGGAGTGGAACAAAATCCCTCCTGAGATGTGTGCAAACCTGGTGGCCAACTACAAGAAACGTCTGACCTCTGTGATTGCCAACAAGGGTTTTGCCACCAAGTACTAAGTCATGTTTTGCAGAGGGGTCAAATACTTATTTCAAATCAATTTATAACATTTTTGGCATGCGTTTTTCTGTTGTTATTCTGTCTCTCACTGTTCAAATAAACCTACCATTAAAATTATAGACTGATAATTTCTTTGTCAGTGGGCAAACATACAAAATCAGCAGGGGATCAAATACTTTTTTCCCTCACTGTAGAAAGGTAGAAAATAGATTTTGTGATTGTTATCTACAGTACAATCAGGGTTGCAAAATTCCGGTAACTTTCCCAAAATGTCCTGGTTTTCCAGAAATCCAGGTTGGAGGATTCCTGGATTCCCTCGTAATTCCAAGAATCTTCCAACTAGGATTTCTGGAAAACTGGGGAATTTGGGGAAATTTACCAGAGTTTTGCATCCCTAGATACAATGTTTTTAGTGTTTGAATCTTCCCAATGGTATCAGCATTGTAGGATTACAGCTTTCATTCAGACAATAGAATATCATAGTATAGAATAGAAAACATCTTGACTTTCCAAGGAAAGCTAAATGTTCATTCAGAAGAAGTGAACTCTGTATATTCTATTTCTATAACTATACCACACTCATTAGACAAACTGAAAAGACCCTTCATACACCGTTCAGAAAACATTTGGAAAATGGCAGTTGTCTCACCCGAATATATCATTGCTCCTATCCCCCTGTAGAACCAGCAGTGATGATGGTCAGTAGAGAGACTATTGCTCCTATCCCCCTGTAGAACCAGCAGTGATGACTATCAGTATAGAGACAATGGATTTTGTAGCATGACTTTCTCCCTCCTCTCCGCCTTATTGGCTCTGACCCCTGTGACCCCTGTATTAGACTGGACCTGTCAGAGCACTTCCAGGTCATTACCGAGGAACAGGGTCTAGCTTCCAGGTCGTTACCGAGGAGCAGGGCCTAGCTTCCAGGTCATTACCGAGGAGCAGGGCCTCGCAGAGCACTTCCAGGTCATTACCGAGGAGCAGGGCCTGTCAGAGCACTTCCAGGTCGTTACCGAGGAGCAGGGCCTAGCTTCCAGGTCATTACCGAGGAGCAGGGCCTGTCAGAGCACTTCCAGGTCATTACAGAGGAGCAAGGCCTGTCAGAGCACTTCCAGGTCATTACCGAGGAGCAGGGCCTGTCAGAGCACTTCCAGGTCGTTACCGAGGAGCAGGGCCTGTCAGAGCACTTCCAGGTCGTTACCGAGGAGCAGGGCCTGTCAGAGCACTTCCAGGTCATTACCGGGGAGCAGGGCCTGACTGACTGGACACCCCAGGAGTAATCAGCCGAGGGAGGAGGGAGGGAAGGAGGGAGGGTAGGTGGAAGGAAGGGAGGGAGGATTAAAGGCAGGGAGATGACCAACAAAGGGCAGGCAGTCGTAACACCATGGCAACTCCCTGTCTGAGCAGAGGAGAGCAAAGGATAGGAGAGGAGTTAAGATCTGATGTGCGCCACTCAGATGTCCATCAGTCTTCACATTCACAAGGAGTTTTACACACTAAAACACAGGCCTTAGCATAGGTGGACACACGTGCTCAGAACACATACAGTATGTTCAGCTCCATTCCAGACAACATCCTGACAGTATTCCTCAATATGCACACGCACACACACACACACACGCACGCAAACACTGTAACCCTCTCCCGGACATACACCAGACAAGTCAGTCATATGTACACCTGCCATTATTGAACAGACAGTGTGACAGATAGATAGACAGACAGACAGATAACACCATATTGACAAATCCTGCTGATTGGTACATTCCCTTTTTGGCCACCGTCCCTCCAGCGAGCCGAAATGATGGACCGGTGGAAATAGGAACGGAACGAGGCTCGCTTGTTCATTATGGTGTAAATAATGTGGACACCTAAGCTGGCAGCTCTCCAAATGAGCTTTTCGGGGATGTGGGGTCTGCCCCCGTGCGCAGCGCTTAAATTAAATGTCACGGCGGCGAGTGGGATGGTGTGGGTGCGGTGGTGGAGACAGCGAAGTGGAATGGATTAGGAGATGAGATAATGAAGACAGAAGTTCATTCCGTTTCCAGCCGGGGAGGGGAAGGAGGGGGAAGGTGCATTCTCCTGTTAAAGCCTGTTAGAGGGAGGAGGGAGAAGAGACGGATGGAAGGAAGAAAGGAGGGTGACTGGAAACATCCCACAGATTCACACTCATAGTCAGCCCACTCCAAAACCTTCCTCTCATTGTTTTACCAAAACAATATTAGATGACGCTATATTTTTATGATATATTCAATCTACATCAGTCATTTGATTCACTTTTGGTCCAACAGGTCAGTTTATATGACGTCGATTTTGTACAACACCATCGGTATTGGAAGAGGTTACCCACTTATATAATATGAATGTCTTGAGACCTAGTAAAACATTAATATCACTGATTACTGTCAACTTTGGTCAGACAGACTTCCCCTCTTGACAGCCTCCAGAAGTCCCACGTCTGTCTTGTTATAATGGTTATGATGTAATACAGATATATGGAATATAGAATGGGATCAAAGCACACTCTAAATGGAATTAGACTCTGCTAACTGTCATCCTAATCGATTCTTATGAGTACAGCACAGACACATTCACCCTCATAGACTCACAGACCCATTCACCCTCATAGACATAAAGGAACTATTCTAAGTCTATTTCCATCTTCCGCCCTCCCCCCTACGAACAGTTAGCGTATAACCCATTCACTTTTGGTTGAAAGCAAAGTTTGTATGCCCTTTCTGCTAAAATAAAAGTTTGTATGCACTCACTGTACTGTAAGTCAGTTTGGATAATAGCATCTGCTAAACAGCATATATTATTATTATATATATTATATTATTTACTGTAGGGAGAATCACATTGTAGCCCCGAGCATTGCTCTGACATATGATCTGGCCATCCCATCAGTTTAATGAGAGAAACAGTTTCTCTCCTCCCTCTCCACCTCTCCTCCTCTCCTCCTCTTCACCTCTCCATCTCTCCACCTCTCCTCCTCTCCTCCTCTCCACCTCTCCTCCCTCTCCACCTCTCCTCCTCTCCTCCCTCTCCACCTCAACTCCTCTCCTCCTCTCCTCCCTCTCCACCTCAACTCCTCTCCTCCTCTCCTCCTCTCCTCCCTCTCCACCTCAACTCCTCTCCTCCTCTCCTCCTCTCCTCCTCTCCTCCTCTCCTCCTCTCCTCCTCTCCACCTTTTCTCTCCTCTTCCTAAACCACCCAGACCCACCTGTCATCTCACATCCCATCCCTCCTCTCCTCTTCCTAAACCACCCAGACCCACCTGTCATCTCCCATCCCATCCCACCTCTCCTCTTCCTAAACCACCCAGACCCACCCATCTCACATCCCATCCCACCTCTCCTCTTCCTAAACCACCCAGACCCACCTGTCATCTCCCATCCCATCCCACCTCTCCTCTTCCTAAACCACCCAGACCCACCTGTCATCTCCCATCCCATCCCACCTCTCCTCTTCCTAAACCACCCAGACCCACCTGTCATCTCCCATCCCATCCCACCTCTCCTCTTCCTAAACCACCCAGACCCACCTGTCATCTCCCATCCCATCCCACCTCTCCTCTTCCTAAACCACCCAGACCCACCTGTCATCTCCCATCCCATCCCGCCTCTCCTCTTCCCTCCCAATATTACATCCCCAAACCAAACACACACCATTATATTAACTAGTAAACATGTAGGATTAGTGCTTAGGGACCATGTTGTAGAGTTAGGGGGGTAGTTGGATCCCTGTGGAATCTCCCTGGTCTCTCCCATGGGTGTCCCCTGCCATGAAACAAACACATTATGCACCAGGAGCGGATTGGGGAGCGGGTGAAATAATGTTATAATGTAATAAAGCCACCCCCCAACACACTCGCCCCTCCTCCCAGAAGAGAGGTATTATTGAAATGGGAGGCTGAGACGTCCCATCTCACACATAGTGTTATACATCACCACCGTTCACTACCACTATCACTAATCATATGTGTATGGGCTGATTAGCTCTCACAGGCTAATCACAAAGGCTTCTTGAGCATCCAATCACAGCTGTTATAGATGGAGGAACAAACACATGATGACATGTGGATGGTGATTTGTATGGTGATCCAGGGTTTAGTGGCTGAGTGCCACATCTCTCTTCATTGGGGATTGTTATGTATTCAGAATGCACTTGGCAGAATCAGAATGCACTCATTGAGGATGTGATGAATAATTCTGCTCTCTCTCTCTCTCTCTCTCTCTCTCTCTCTCTCTCTCTCTCTCTCTCTTCTCTCTCTCTATGTCTCTCTCTCACCCTCTCACTCTCTCTATATATATATATCTCTCTCTCTTTCCCTCCTCTTTCTCTATCTCTCGCTCTCACTCTCTCTCTCTCTCTCTCTATCTCCCCCTTTCTCTCTCTCTCCCTCTACCTCTTTCCCTCCTCTCTCTCTTCTCTCTCTTCTCTATCTCTCTGTCTCTCTGCAGGTGCCTGATAACTCTGTGATGGCCCTGGTCCCCAAGCAGGTTACGGCCTACAACTCGGTCAACAACTCCACTGTGTCCAGAACCTCGGCCAGTAAATACGGTATGGATAACGTGACAATATGTGGTTTTTTTGTGTATCTTTGCATGTGTGTGAGTGTGTGTGTGTGAGAGAAAGAGAGAGAGAGAGAGAGAGAGAGAGGAGCACATTTCCGGCACATTTCCAGATTTCTCTCCTGGATAGGATGCGTCCTCCTGGAACTAAAACAATTATGCCACCCCCCCCTCCATCTCCCAGCAGTCTGTGTGCCTGAGAGTTAAACAGGAAGAACCATGTCCTCATCAGAGTGGGATTCATAGTCTGAGTCAGCGTGCGCACACACACACACACACATACACACACACTCTTTCTCTCTCTGTCTCTCTCTCTCTCTTTGTAACTCTCTCACACATGCACACATAAACACGCACACACACACACACGCACACACACACTCACATACACACATCAGCACACACACAGACGTTCACACCTACACACACACTGTGTATTCCCTGTTGCGGATGCACAAGGTCCATTGCCAGGATTTTAATTAAAAAACGTGGCTAAACAGCACCTTCTCCCTCTAAACCTTCACCACAGAAACCAACACTGACTTCTTCTGCACACACTGTTCATCCCTCAAACTAACAGAGCTCCATATGTCACTAACAGATGTAAAGGCTCTGTTAACAATACCTGAACCCATAGTAAAGTCTTCCATACATTAGCCACCATTAACAACACCTGAACCCATAGTAAATTCTTCCATACATTATCCACTATTAACAACACCTGAACCCATAGTAAAGTCTTCCATACATTAGCCACTATTAACAACACCTGAACCCATAGTAAATTCTTCCATACATTAGCCACTATTAACAACACCTGAACCCATAGTAAAGTCTTCCATACATTAGCCAGTATGTGCTGTTAGACCATAGTAGGAGAAGAGGGCCAGAACTGAGCCCAGGAGACAGGATAACAAGATTAGAGCAGGGAATTTAACAGACCAACAAAGACAGAGCGAAGAGAGTGAAGAGAAGAAAGAGTGTGTTTGCACTTTACTCCCCTCTGGGACTGGAGAAAGAAACTGTGTCCCAAATGGCACCCTACTCCCTATATCGTGCACTACTTTGAACCAGAGCCCCATAGGGAATGTTGTGAACTACATAGGGAATAGGGTGCCATTTGGGATGCAGCCAGACAGCGTCCCATCTAGCAATGACTGTGTTGGTCTGGCCCTGTGTTCTCTTGAACCCGAGAAGAAGCCATCAAATCAAACCCAGATCAAAGGCGGCGCCGCCCGGCCTCAAACACTCCAGACACATCAAATGACGGCTTTATTAGCCAGCTAGCACCTCATCTCCATACCTCATCTCCCTGCCTCTGTTCCTCGACTCAAATTAGACGGAAGAAAAAGGAGGGTGAGTGTGAAAGAAAAAGAGAGGGAACAGGATGGAGATAGAGAGATAGAGATGGAGGCAGACAGAATCTCTTCACTTAGTTGGGGAATTGACTTCAAACGATGCCAGATCCACTTGAGACAAGAGGGGGGGGGGGGGGGGGGGGGGGGGGGGGGGGGGGTTGACTTTGAACTGGACTGATCACAATGGAGAAGCACTGAGGAGAGGAAAGACTGATTGTAATGGAGCCAAAGGAGAGAGGGAGAGGGAGGGAGAACGTTAGTGAGGAAGGTGGAGAGAGTAAGAAATAAGGAGGGATGATGAAGAAGAGGGATGGAAGGAGAAGGAAGAAAGTGATTGAGTGAGATGAAGCGAGGAGGAGAGAGAGAGAGAGAGAGAGTGAGAGAGAGCCAGCTTCCTTTCTTAATCAAAACTCCTGTGTGATATGTCAGCATGGTAGTATTTCAGTAAGGACTGTGTGTGTGTGTGGAGCGCTCCTTCTAGGGACCACTTCCACTCCACCGAACATGTCATCCGGCCCTATTACACCAGCCCACTCAATAACACTCTGGAAGACGACCACCACTTTCTTTATCACACACACACACTCCCATCATTCCAAGTGGCCAGTCAGTCAAGTTCCAGGAGTCAGTATGCACACACACACTATAGCTGCTTTCTCTCTCTAGTACTTTACCTCCCTCTCCTCTCTTCCTCTCTCCCTCCATCATTCACTCTTCCTGCGTTTCTCTCTGGAAGGACAGATTGATTTCTGCAGCGTCTGCCTTGGCAAAAACACACTTTATTTCACCTGTCCTCTCCCTCGACCAGCAGGCCTACTGATCAATTCTTTATTTCACCGTCCTCTCCCTCGACCAGCAGGCCTACTGATAAATTCTTTATTTCACCGTCCTCTCCCTCGACCAGCAGGCCTACTGATCAATTCTTTATTTCACCGTCCTCTCCCTCGACCAGCAGGCCTACTGATCAATTCTTTATTCACCCGTCCTCTCCCTCGACCAGCAGGCCTACTGATCAATTCTTATTTCACCGTCCTCTCCCTCGACCAGCAGGCCTACTGATCAATTATTCACGCTGTGTAAACATTCATCGAGCTGGCGTGTTTTTAAATGTCATCGCCACTCTCGTCAAATGGGGTGGGCACATGAATATTTAATCTCGCCATACACCTGTTTGATTTTGTGTCCGCGAGTTGTGCCAAGGCGTATTCTACCTCCCGAGAGAAAAAGATGCCATGAAAAATTAACCATGCGCAAGCTGTTGTAAAAGTTTCAATGTCCAATCTCAAGGCTCGGTAGCTTGAAGCTTCCAACTGAAACCAGACAAACTATTGGAGCTTCGACCGAATTTGGCTTATTTGACTTCATATCCTTTAGAATAACTGTGTAGTATGCTTAGAATAACTATGTAGTATCCTTTAGAATAACTATGTAGTATCCTGTAGAATAACAATGTAGTATCCTTTAGAAAAACTGTGTAGTATCCTTTAGAATAACTATGTAGTATGGCTTGACCCCCTGTGTTTTGTTTTGTCTGTCTTTGGTTTATGTTGCGTCTGTCTTTAATGTGTGTTTTGTCTATGTTATCATCTCTCACCCTTTTCACTTGATCGTGGCGACCTGAACAGTACTGTGCTGGCTCAGATGTTTTCTTTTCACATCCCCTCTGTTAGGTGTGTTATCTCTATATATACTCTGCACCATATCCACTCTGTTAGGTGTGTTATCTCTATATATACTCTACACCATATCCCCTCTGTTAGGTGTGTTATCTCTATATATACTCTACACCATATCCCCTCTGTTAGGTGTGTTATCTCTATATATACTCTACACCATATCCCCTCTGTTAGGTGTTGTTATCTCTATATATACTCTACACCATATCCCCTCTGTTAGGTGTGTATCTCTATTTATACTCCACACCATATCCCCTCTGTTAGGTGTGTTATCTCTATTATACTCCACCATATCCCCTCTGTTAGGTGTGTTATCTCTATTTATACTCCACACCATATCCCCTCTGTTAGGTGTGTTATCTCTATTTATACTCCACACCATATCCCCTCTGTTAGGTGTGTTATCTCTATTTATACTCCACACCATATCCCCTCTGTTAGGTGTGTTATCTCTATTTATACTCCACACCATATCCCCTCTGTTAGGTGTGTTATCTCTATTTATACTCCACACCATATCCCCTCTGTTAGGTGTGTTATCTCTATTTATACTCCACACCATATCCCCTCTGTTAGGTGTGTTATCTCTAGATATACTCCACACCATATCCCCTCTGTTAGGTGTGTTATCTCTAGATATACTCCACACCATATCCCCTCTGTTAGGTGTGTTATCTCTAGATATACTCCACACCATATCCCCTTGTTAGGTGTGTTATCTCTAGATATACTCCACACCATATCCCCTCTGTTAGGTGTGTTATCTCTAGATATACTCCACACCATATCCCCTCTGTTAGGTGTGTTATCTCTAGATATACTCCACACCATATCCCCTCTGTTAGGTGTGTTATCTCTAGATATACTCCACACCATATACCCTCTGTTAGGTTGTTATCTCTAGATATACTCCACACCATATCCCCTCTGTTAGGTGTGTTATCTCTAGATATACTCTACACCATATCCCCTCTGTTAGGTGTGTTATCTCTATATATACTCCATACCATATCCCCTCTGTTAGGTGTGTTATCTCTATATATACTCTACACCATATCCCCTCTGTTAGGTGTGTTATCTCTAGATATACTCCACACCATATCCCCTCTGTTAGGTGTGTTATCTCTAGATATACTCCACACCATATCCCCTCTGTTAGGTGTGTTATCTCTAGATATACTCCACACCATATCCCCTCTGTTAGGTGTGTTATCTCTAGATATACTCTACACCATATCCCCTCTGTTAGGTGTGTTATCTCTAGATATACTCCACACCATAGCCACGGGAAGTAGGGGTGCTGAGGGTGCTGTAGCACCCCCTAAAAAAATCAGATTTTTAAAAATTGTATTAATAATAAAAAAATATTAAAAAGTCCTGTATTAGCAGGTCCAAAAATAAATTACCCCCCCATTGGCGAAATCAAAAACACAGCCCCACCACTCCCAAACATCTTCCCGCGGCTACACTGTCTATATTATGTCTGTGCTGATCATGTTATATCTTCATGGTCTGTGCTACAGTATATGTCAATGTTATTGGTTTCGGCTTCATCTCTGTGTCATATCCTGATGTTATTCTTTACGTTCCACAGAGAACATGATCAAGTACACAGGGAGCCCCGACAGCCTGCGCTCGCGCACGCCCATGATCACGCCCGACCTGGAGAGCGGGGTAAAGGTGTGGCACCTGGTCAAGAACCACGAGCACGGGGACCAGAAGGAGGGAGACCGTGGCTCCAAGATGGTCTCTGAGATATACCTGACCAGGCTGCTGGCCACCAAGGTGAGTTATCTCACACACACCACACACACACACACACACACACACACACACACACACACACACACACACACACACACACACACACCTAGACTAAAGTAAGTTATTTCAGGTGAAGAATATTATTGAAATATAGTATTATTCCTCATCCCCTGTAGGCTCTGAGTGAAAATATGCAGATGGGTATTGTGTCTTTCAAACCTCAGCAGCATATCTAATGTTATACAACGGCTCTAATCCTGAATGCTGATTGGTTAAAACCACATTCTAGCAGGTGTCTATTCCACAAGTTACCTAATGATAGAGGTGGCACACAAAGGTAAAACCTGTAAACGAGGAAAGGCTTTTTCTGTAGACAGAGATGTTATCTGGTGAAAAACAGAAATGGAAATAGCCATAAAATGAGTCTCTTTGAGCATGCTTGGGCGCTGTGGCCCCTCAGAAAATCAGTTAATTTGGTTTGGAGGGAATCGGGACTTTGATCCCACTGCTCAATGGGAATTACCAATCCACTCGCTAATGATGTGCCTCCTTTACATCACACATGCTTTCTTAGAGAGAGAGAGAGAGAGAGAGAGAGAGAATTCAGACAGACAACACTCCGCCTGGTTCCGTTTTGTGGTTCTATAATGGGACTGCTTAGTTGCAGGATTCACATGCATGCACACACACACTCATCAACAGAGTTGTTGGCAGAGATGGCTGAGGAGGCAACAGGGATATGGAGAGAGAGTGTCGTCTGTCATTTCTCTGGCGTGTGCTGTGATTGCCAGCGAGCAGTCACTGTGGAGCTGTGGAATTAATATGGCAATGCTCTCTCTGTGAAGCACATGTACCAGACCCACAGTCTAACACTCTTAGACAGACAAAAACACTCAGTCAATCATTCACATAGACAGACACATACACTGCATTCGGAAAGTATTCAGACCCTTCCCTTTTTCCACATTTTTGTTACATTACAGCCTTATTCTAAAATGGATTTAATATATAATTTTTTCTCATCAATCTACACACAATACCCCATAATGACAAAGCGAACACAGATTTGTAGAAATGTTAGCAAATGTATTACAAATAAAAACCTTATTTGCATAAGTGAGACTCGAAATTGAGATGTTTCTACAACTTGATTGGAGTCCACCTGTGGTAAATTCAATTGATTGGACATGAGGCACACACCTGTTTATATAATGTCCCACATTTGACGGTGAATGTCAAGGCAAAAACCAAGCCATGAGGTCGAAGGAATTGTCCGTAGAGCTCTGAGACAGGATTGTGTCAACGCACAGATCTGGGGATGGTTACCAAAAAATGTCTGCAGCATTGAAGGACACCAAGAACATAGTGTCCTCAATCATTCATAAATGGAAGAAGTTTGGAACCACCAAGACTCTTCCTAGAGCTGGCCGCCCGGCCAAACTGAGCAATCAGGGGAGAAGGGCCTTGGTCAGGGAGGTGACCAAGAACCCGATGGTCACTCTGACAGAGCTCCAGAGTTCCTCTGTGGTCCTTCCAGAGGACAACCATCTCTGCAGCACTCCACCAATCAGGCCTTTATAGTAGAGTGGCCAGACGGAAGCCACTCCTCAGTAAAAGGCACATGACAGCCAAACTTGGAGTTTGCCAAAAGGCACCTAAAGGACTCTCAGACCAAGAGAAACAAGATTATCTGGTCTGATGAAACCAAGATTGAACTCTTTGGCCTGAATGCCAAGTGTCAAGTCTGGAAGAAACCTGGCACCATCCCTACGGTGAAGCATAGTGGTGGCCGCATCATGCTGTGGGGATGTTTTTCAGCAGCAGTGACTGGGAGACTATTCAGGATCGAGGGGAAAGATGAATGGAGCAAAGTACATAGGGATCCTTGATGAAAACCTGCTTCAGAGTGCTCAGGACCTCAGACTGGGGGCGAAGGTTCACCTGCCAACAGGACAACGACCCTAAGCACACAGCCAAGACAACGCAGGAGTGGCTTCGGGACAAGTCTCTGAATGTCCTTGAGTGGCCCAGCCAGAGCCCGGACTTGAACCCGATCTAACATCTCTGGAGAGATCTGAAAATAGCTGTGCAGCAACGCTCCCCATCCAACCTGACAGAGCTTGAGAGGATATGCAGAGAAGAATGGGAGAAACTCCCCAAATACAGGTGTGCCAAGCTTGTAGCGTCATACCCAAGAAGTAAGTAAATGAGTAAAGGGTCTGAATATTTATGTAAATGTGATATTTCAGTATTTTTTTCTTCTTCTTTTTTCCGCAAATTTCTAAAAACCTGTTTTAGCTTTCTCATTATGGGGTATAGTGTGTAGATTGATGGGGGAAAAAAACAATTTGATCAATTTTAGAATAAGGCTGTAACGTAACAAAATGTGGAAAAAGTCAAGGGGTCTGAATACTTTCCGAAGGCACTCACAAAAAGTGTGTTTGACAAACACACAAACTGACACACACCCACACAACACACATGCCTCCCCCCCCCCCCACACACACACACACACAAACTGACACACACACCCACATAACACACACACACACACACATAACACACACACACACACTGAGCAATGCTCTATCTCCCTGTGATTACCCTGGTCAGGGGGGAATGCGATGCAGAGACGGCGTGTCATCTTTACAGATGGAGTGTTTTTGTGGAGTAACCGGTTTATCTTGGGGACCATCTCTCTTGGTGAGGGATGACTGGGCCGACAGCACTGTAATTGACTGCGTTTGACTTTTACCTCGCCAATAAATACCGTTGGTCGGCCCGGCGCTGACATCCCCCATTTTAGGTCCATCAGTGTCACTCTGATGGGGGGGGCAAAGGGCTTGTTTCTTGATTGTATCCTTCTATTCCTCCTTTCCTCCTCTCTCTCTCTTTCTCCTTCTCTCTCTCTGTTTGTGACGACATCAGCACCCCTTCAATCACTCAGTCTTTGCTGTTTTGTTTTCTTTCCACTCATCCTAAATGATAGGGTAGATCTGATGCAGGCATCACTGTCTGTCTGTCCTCTTCCTAAATGACAGGGTAGATCTGATGCAGGCATCACTGTCTGTCTGTCCTCTTCCTAAATGACAGGGTAGATCTGATGCAGGCAGCACTGTCTGTCTGTCCTCTTCCTAAATGACAGGGTAGATCTGATGCAGGCATCACTGTCTGTCTGTCCTCTTCCTAAATGATAGGGTAGATCTGATGCAGGCAGCACTGTCTGTCTGTCCTCTTCCTAAATGACAGGGTAGATCTGATGCAGGCATCACTGTCTGTCTGTCCTCTTCCTAAATGACAGGGTAGATCTGATGCAGGCATCACTGTCTGTCTGTCCTCTTCCTAAATGACAGGGTAGATCTGATGCAGGCAGCACTGTCTGTCTGTCCTCTTCCTAAATGACAGGGTAGATCTGATGCAGGCAGCACTGTCTGTCTGTCCTCTTCCTAAATGACAGGGTAGATCTGATGCGGGCATCACTGTCTGTCTGTCCTCTTCCTAAATGACAGGGTAGATCTGATGCAGGCAGCACTGTCTGTCTGTCCTCTTCCTAAATGACAGGGTAGATCTGATGCAGGCATCACTGTCTGTCTGTCCTCTTCCTAAATGACAGGGTAGATCTGATGCAGGCATCACTGTCTGTCTGTCCTCTTCCTAAATGACAGGGTAGATCTGATGCAGGCATCACTGTCTGTCTGTCCTCTTCCTAAATGACAGGGTAGATCTGATGCAGGCATCACTGTCTGTCTGTCCTCTTCCTAAATGACAGGGTAGATCTGATGCAGGCATCACTGTCTGTCTGTCCTCTTCCTAAATGACAGGGTAGATCTGATGCAGGCATCACTGTCTGTCTGTCCTCTTCCTAAATGACAGGGTAGATCTGATGCAGGCAGCACTGTCTGTCTGTCCTCTTCCTAAATGACAGGGTAGATCTGATGCAGGCAGCACTGTCTGTCTGTCCTCTTCCTAAATGACAGGGTAGATCTGATGCAGGCAGCACTGTATCTTTTAGGCTAGACTCTAGATTACACATTTTCTTTAAAGTGCAGTGAAATGATGGGCTAGGGTTCAGTGTCTGTGTCTGTGTGTGTGTGTGTGTGTGTGTGTGTGTGTGTGTGTGTGTGTGTGTGTGTGTGTGTGTGTGTGTGTGTGTGTGTGCGTGTTTTCAGTGGACTGTAATGGCAGCTTGTGCTCTCAGGGGACAGATGAAGGACTATCATGATGAGGTTGTCTGTCTGTGGGATTCCTTATGCACACACATATATAACACACAAACACATATTACACAAACACACACTCTACATGTATAACAGCTTCCCTGCCACTAAACTGTCCCCACGATGACACGGGGTTTGAGGAAGAAATGTATCTTTTCATCTTCATAGGCAAATGATAAGCTGTCAGAAATGTGGGACACGGTAGAATCACGGCTGTGATTGTCAGCTAACTGGATTCTCCTCTCCTCTCTTCTCTCTGACTCAGTCACCGCTCCAGCCAAAATGGGATTTTTATTTGCCGCTCATGCACACCTCTTCTGACACGCTGCGCGCTTGTGGCTCTTTCCAGATAGGGTTTCCTCACTGTCACGTCTATTCATTCTGTCCTCTCTTCTCTTCTCCCTCTCTCATTCTGTCAGCTCATTCGTTACAAGTGGATTAGATTCTCTCTTTCTATCTATCTCGTTTTCTCTCTCTCTCTTCTCTCCTCCTTAAAGTCGAGAACATTAAATCAAATTAGGGTCAATGGTGCAGTGTGTGAGCTAATCCCTCCACACAAAGAGGCTTAGGAGATGCGCCTCCTGTTCCCAGATATTATTAAAAGTGAACTGTGAAAAAACAATTTCCCATCAAAGCCCAGAGATTTAGGACCAGAGAGAGATGGAGAGAGAGATGTAGAGAGAAAGATGGAGAGAGAAAACACATCAGGAAACACCATCAGATACACAGGATAAAACACACTCTCAGTCAGACACACACACCACAGGAGGCTGGTGAGGGGAGGATGGCTCATAATAATGGATGGAATGTAGTGAATGGAATGGTATCAAACACATGGAAACCATGGAAACCATGTGTTTGATGTGTCGGTAACACTTTACTTGACACCCAGTGTCAGAACACTAGGTTACACCACAGTCTTTTAATATATATATATTTTTTTACAATATTCAATTATCATTGTAATTGCGCACACATTGATGTCAGACATGCACCTGCCCCAATGCTCTGTTGCTGATGACAGAGATTAATCGAGGGGCAGATTTCAGGAGCAAGACACCCTCTTTTTGACTGATGACTGATATAAGGGCATGTACGTGATAGGCCTATCTGGCATTATGATGGTCATTATGATTGTCATTATGTATTTTCTTAGTCCAAGTAAAGTGACACAGGATGGTCACAATGCTTATTTAATTATTTGAAAAAAGTTATTTAAGTTATTTAAAATATGATGAAAAAATGATGATAATTCATTACAATAACAAAGGATTTAAGAAACAAACGGAAGGAAACTTCTTGGCAGGGAAAAAACTAATTTGAATAAATGTGGGTTTTGACACTCTTATACGGGTGTCAAAACCAGCCATAAAATAACACAATATATGTCACAACAGGTGTAAATATATTGGTCATGACAGTGTTATGACCATATTATGACAAGTTATGTCAACTGTTATGACATGTTATGACATGGTTATTACTGTGTCATAACGTGTTATGACACTGGGTGTCAAGTAAAGTGTTACCGATGTGTTTGATACCATTCCGTTCCAGCTATTACTATGAGCCAGTCCTCACCAATTAAGGTGCCACCTGTGACACACATACACCAGTTGCATTTAATGAAGTGAAACGTACACCTTAGACACTAGATGTAGATTGTAGAAGATCTGCCTTTAGAAGATGCTATGCTTCTGATACCTGAGATGGACTAATACAACACTGTAGGAGAAATGGACAAGACACTCACTTAGGCTAGGATCTGGGCTTTAGCTCGACGGGCTAAGTGCCTCATCTCAGTGAAACAGGACCGGGCTCCTTGTTGGTCAGTGGTTTTGCACACACCTGTCACCATTCTCTCTGTCTGTCTGTGTGTGTGTTGTCTGTCGCTCACTGCTGATATCTCTCTCTGCTTCCACAGGGCACTTTACAGAAGTTTGTGGATGACCTGTTTGAGACCATCTTCAGCACGGCCCACCGAGGCAGTGCCCTGCCCCTGGCCATCAAGTACATGTTTGACTTCCTGGACGAGCAGGCTGACAAGCACAGCATCCATGACCCGCATGTCAGACACACATGGAAAAGCAACTGGTGAGACACTGGAGACATCTTGCCTTTCCTGTTATTTTACTGTGTACTTAAACAGGTTAACATTGGAAGTGTACGGCAACCTCCCCATACACACACACACACACACACACACATACAGTAGGTAGAAACACAGACACATGCACACTCTCGTATACACACACACACACACACACACACACACACACACACACACACACACACGGAAGTATATCAGAGAGAAGATGGCACTGCCCTAAATCTGTCTCCCCCCTCCACCACCACCTCCATGCCTACCCATGAACCATGGTGTGTGTGTACAATCTTCATTAAATCCAATGACGGAGAGCTAATCCCACTGGCAGCCAATCAGGGTAGCTGGCTCTGACATTACCATGGTTACCGACCGGGACCGAGCCGCCCGTAGTCGCCAGGGCGAGGAAACCAGGGGAGGCTAGGTGAAGGAAGTGGACTCCAAATGAATATCCTCTGATTCATTTAGACCCGTGTCCCCTCCTGAAGGGGTGTCAGGGTTAAATAACCTGGAGTGGATTAGAATGAGGAAGAGAGGAGGGGGTGGAGGAGAAGAGGAAATGGACTCAGTGGGAGTTAAACACCACGCTAATAACTAATTAGCCCCTGGCCTTCGCCAAGGTCCCATCAATTCCCTCAGCTCTGGCCCGAAGGACCATGGGGCTGGGAATTGGTGTGTGGGGCAGTCGGCCGGAGGAGAGTGGAGAGAGAGGGGGAAGGAGAGACTATTTACTTTATGGTCATAATTTTTATCCTTCCCAGCTTCTGCGTTATTGCAACATTTAGACATTAATGGAATCACTCTTGCAAGAGGGGGAACGTTAAACAGTCATTTATCATAACACACCGGCAACACTTACACAACGCTTAGTGCCTGGTGCTGATTCCACTGTCAGGGAGTTCCAGGTCCTCTCTCTGCATGGGTTGCTTTCTGCTTGTTTGTTTGTGAGAGTGTGTGTGCATGTGAGTAAGTGTGTGTGTGTGTGACAGTCTGTCTGTCTGTGTGTGCATGTGTTTCCACCCCTGAGTGTTGTTAAAGACTGCATTCTGCTAGAACAAAAAGCTGATCCATTCAGAGTGATACTACAACAGGTCCAGTCGTCATCCACAACCCATTAACAACACCCTGCCCACTCAGAGCACCATTTCCCCTGTCCTACACCAAGCAGTGGTGGCCTATCCTTCAAACCAGATTATTAACTACCTCCAGCCAGCTCAGAGCACCATGTCCCCTGGCCTACACTGAGCAGTGGTGGCCTATCCTTCAAACCAGATTATTAACTACCCCCAGCCAGCTCAGAGCACCATGTCCCCTGGCCTACACCAAGCAGTGGTGGCCTATCCTTCAAACCAGATTATTCTCTGCCCTGTGTATTTCTCCAGCAGCAGAGATAGAATGAAATAATCCAACCTAACCTGAGATTGAAACTGAGAGACACACAGCTGTGTGTGGTTTCCAAGAAACAATCATGTCATTGTCATGTCTCTGGATGAGAGCAGTCTATGAGCTTAAAGTCTAGACCTTTTTCTGTACAGGAGTTATTCATAGATATGTAGACCATGTTAATAGACTGAATGAATGTGAGGCGTGGGTATAATAGTTCATCATTAAGACAGTTTTTATTTGTTTAGGGGTTGATAATAGACTATTTTCCTGTCAGCCATAGTTTTTTATTCCCAGAAGCAGGCTGGCACAGGAAGAGCCTCTGACAGACAGATCTTTCATCATCACTCAGTCCAGTGCATGGTTGACTGTATAATCATCCACCATGGTTGACTGTGTAATCATCCGCCATGGTTGACTGTGTAATCATCCACCCTGGTTGACTGTGTAATCATCTACCATGGTTGACTGTGTAATAATCCACCATGGTTGGCTGTGTAATCCTCCACTGTGGTTGACGGTATGATCGTCCACCATGGTTGGCTGTGTAATCATTCACCATGGTTGGCTGTGTAATCATCCACCATGGTTGGCGGTGTCATCATCCACCCTGGTTGACTGTGTAATCATCCGCCGGCAGAGGAGGCTGGTGGGAAGCGCATCTGTTTTTATACCTGTGCGAGTGCATGCCTTTCTGCATCACTTTGTCTGTGTGTGTGTTGTGTTTGTGTGTTTGAGTCACAGACTCCTAGAGCTCCTCCAGATGGTATCTTTTGGATTAGCAGTCAGTGTGTCGACATCTCCCTCTCCTCCTCTTTCTTCAGTGTGTGTGTGTGTGTGTGTCCCTTCAGCTAGCAGCGTTTTAATTAGCAGCTTCTAGAGCAGACTGGCACACACATGCCCACACTACACAGCACACACAACTCATCTGTGTCCTTAATCACATAAAACCACCACACTCTCCCAACGACAGCAGCAGGCAGGCAGGAAGACACATCCCTCTGAAGTTTGACAACAGTCTGGAGATATTACAGTGATATTACAGTCACTAAATCACATTCTTCATATAGAGATTAGATTCTATTTCTACCCAGGCTACAGTATGAGTAACAGTATTTTCTGTAATGATCCAAGATTATACTGTTTGTTGTTTGATTTGATTTGTGGGTAGTGGGTCAATATTAATCCATCCTCGTTCTGTGGAAACCCAGGGATTAATCCTGCTGATGTTAGCTAGGCCAACACTCACTAGCCGTGACAATGACAATAATAATAATACATTTTATTTTAAGTGCTTTTCAAGATGCCCAAAGTCACTTTAAGGCAATTCCATGGTAATGGAACCACACAGAGACTGATCCTTCACCGCAAAATGCATTCCAAACAAAAACCAATGACCTCAAAGTTCAACAAACCATGACCTCTCCGAACAACTTACACTGCCCAAAAATTTTTACAATAACATTTACTGAAAAAACCATAGGAGTTAGCAAGACCACACAAACAGATCTGGGACCAGGCTAAACACTCACTAGCCTGGACACTACACTGTAGCGTAATGCCTCAGTGCTGTACACTCTCACCTTCCCTTAGTGGAAGTGTTGTTGATGTCTGACTGACAGTTTACAGATCACAGAGCCACATTAAGTATCTGTGAAGACTTTAGCTTCATCTCTGGAAAGAAAAAAGCAGTAACAACTACATTCAAGCATCTGTAAAATATGTCAGAAGATGTCAATTCAAAGGAGACAATTGCTCCCTATATATCCCAATGTGTTTGGACTCATTGGATATATTTTAGCAAGGCTATGTTATTTCAGACCCCACAGACAACAATCAATGTAGAGGATGCACAATGATCAATGGCCTTGCAATATAACCAAATACCACTTAGGCAGAGCTCAGGTCATCACTCATACCCATGCTTGTCTACCCTGGGCTTCGATCCTGGTATGAATAACATACTTTACATACAGTTCGGGGAAAAGTTAGCTTGTAAGGAGGTATTGGCAGAACAATTGCCACAATGCAAACACATTTCTCTATCGTCTCCTAGCGATAGTTTGTCACATAAACCTGTATTGTGTCACATTCACTGAACTCTAAATATCATTATGGACATGGTCCAGAGACGGAACGTGTGAAGAGACTCTTTAAATCTGACCTTTCGCCTCGGAAACCATCTAGACCTTAACCTAGCATTGGCCAGCTGTGCCAGATTGACGACAATCAAGACTTGCATCGCGGCGGTGTTAATATCCTTTTGATCCGTCCGCTAATCCCAGAAGATTCGTCCAGATTAATTCAGAGTCATAAAGGTTTCCCTCGCCAAATCCTCTTTTGTTAGGTCGTACAGCTGAATGATTGTAAAGCAGGTTGGGGGTAGGACAAATGTCAGAGGAGAGAGAGAGAGAGAGAGAGAGAGCGAGATATAGATCTAGCGATAGAGAGGCGATCTAGAGAGAGATCTGAGAGCGAGCGCTCTCTCTCTATCTCGCTATCTTATCCTCCTCTCTCTTCTCTCTCTCTCTCTCCTCTCTCTCTCTCTCTCTCTCTCTCGCTCTCTATCTCTCTCTCTCTCTCTCTCTCTCTCTCTCTCTCTCCTTCTCTCTCTCTCTCTCTCTCTCTCTCTCTCTCTCTCTCTCTCTCTCTCTTCTCTCTCTCTCTTTCTCTCTCCTCCTCTCTCCTCTCTCTCCTCTCCTCCCCCTCTCCCTCTCTCCTCTCTCCAGGCCAACAAATAATATATTTATTTTTCGACTTGTGTTGATTATTCTAGACAGGCATGGAATGGGCTGCATGTCTAAACAAGGCAATAGGAACAGTGTCAGTGTGAAGCCCCCAGCGAAGCCCCCAGACACAGCTGGAAACCATGAAGCCCTGGCGCTGCCTGCTTTTAAGATTAGGGCTTTATTAAATCGTGCACACATCAAATAGAACGCATCAGCAACAAGCTGTGTACTAGATTGTAAAGTGAATGGGTCCTCATTCCCTTCTGCCACTGAATGTGTTAGCTCAGACCGACCGCATCCACCTGCTGGCTTTAACCAATGTGAGTTGTTGTATGTTCAGGGATCTAATCTGCTTGGACTTGGATTGGAACAAGGATTGTTATTTAAGTCTTCTGTTTCATTTGTTGTGTTGTTCTATCACAGAGATGCATTCTTAGAAATGTACCTTGTGTATGTTATGGTAATAGACTGTTCTCTGTCCCCTGTAAGTCCAGGGTGTTGTGTTTACATCATGTCCTTAAATCTAGCTGTCTCCCCTATAGCCTACCTCTGAGGTTCTGGCATTCCAGGATGACATGATATTCCCTAACTCTCTCTGTCTCTCCCCTATAGCCTACCTCTGAGGTTCTGGCATTCCAGGATGACATGATATTCCCTAACTCTCTCTGTCTCTCCCCTATAGCCTACCTCTGAGGTTCTGGCATTCCAGGATGACATGATATTCCCTAACTCTCTCTGTCTCTCCCCTATAGCCTACCTCTGAGGTTCTGGCATTCCAGGATGACATGATATTCCCTAACTCTCTCTGTCTCTCCCCTATAGCCTACCTCTGAGGTTCTGGGTGAACGTGATCAAGAACCCCCAGTTTGTGTTCGACATCCACAAGAGCAGCATCACGGACGCCTGTCTGTCTGTGGTGGCCCAGACCTTCATGGACTCCTGCTCTACCTCCGAACACCGCCTGGGCAAGGACTCACCCTCCAACAAGCTGCTCTATGCCAAGGACATCCCCAGTTACAAGAGCTGGGTGGAGAGGTGAGAGGCCGGTGGGTGGGTTGGTTTGGGGGGGGGGGGGGGGGGTGCTTTGTGTGTGAGGTGGGTGGGTTGGTTTGGGGTGTGTGTGTGTATCTACAGTATTTGTCTCTCTCTCTTTGCAAGTTTCTAAATAGACCTGAGTGTAACATGAGAGGACAGTTCAATACGTGGTCCATAAACATCCCTGATAGACTGTAGTCTGCCTCCTGTCTCATAAGTACACACAGTGGGGCTGTAGTGTTATCATCCAGGGGCCATGGAGGAGACTCCAAATGAAAACACACTGGGAATGGATGGCAGTGCCTCCTAGGGCTGGAGAGGTAGAGGGGAGACAGGCACAGACAGAGAGCCGCAGCGTGTTCCCTGTCCTGCCCAGGTACAAGAATGTGAGTCTGAAGTTATGGGAGCACCGCTGTACAGCAGTAGTGGTGGTCATTTGTCAAAATTAGAGTTGTATTCCATTTATTTGGTCAGGGGCAGAGTGCTGAATAAAAGATGGGGCCTGTGAAGCGGTTCCAAAGTATTTATGTGTTAGTGCTCAGCGCTAGCCGCAGGACAGGGACATAATGTATGTGGTGCTTAGATGACTGGAACCCAACAAGGAGTTTTGGCTAGGGCCATATTCATCAGGCTGAGATACTGTGTGTGTGTGTGTGACACTGTCTGTGTGTGTGACACTGTATGTGTGTGTGTGTGTGTGTGTGTGGGTGTGGGTGTGTGTGTGTGCGTGTAAGCATGTGCTTGTGGTTTGTGGTTTTGAATTAACGGTGCATGATCTATATGTTTGTGGGGTGCACTTATAGTTGTTCCCAGTGATCTATAGATGGGTTATTTTATAGTTGTTCCCAGTGATCTATAGATGGGTTATCTTATAGTTGTTCCCAGTGATCTATAGATGGGTTATCTTTCAGAGGATGGTTGCTTGTGGTTGTTTGCTACTTTAAATATGGATGAGACTGTTTAGCATAAGAGCGTTAGCGGAGACTGCATTCACAGTAAACCCTGCATATGTCGGCTCAATCAGAAATTACCTTTCAATTTCAATCGTGTTATAGCGCTGAACTTCAGCGATACGAATTGAATCAAGCCCTTAGTCTTCATGAGGCTTGGCAGTAGACGGGACAGAGGTGTGTGGAGGGTAGGGATGCTTGGTTGGGATGTGCTGCAATACAAAGTTTCCATGGTCCTCCATAGTATCAGACGATCTTGTCATTATCTCAATTGTTCCAGGTGGTGCTCATTATTTGGAGAGGAAATGACGAATTCAAATAGCTGAAATACTCAGTCAACCTCAGGTTAAAAACACACAGGGTATACAGAATGTGATTCTACATCACAGGAGGCTGATGAGGGGAGGACGGCTCATAATAATGTCCGGAACAGAGCAAAGGGAATGGCATCAAACACCTGGGAACCATTGGAACCATGTGTGTGATGTATTTGATACCGTTCCTCTGATACCGCTCCAGTCATTACAACGATCCCATTCTCCCCAAGTAAGGTGCCACCAACTTCCTGTGTTCCACATGTGGACTTTCTCAGAACCAAACCGCAATTGTCAAGACAGCGGTTACTTTCCTAGGAATCATGGGTAGCGTAGTTCTCTGTAAAGATAAATTACTACTATTTAGCTAAAAGCAGCACTGCCAATCTAGAAGTTGTTAAGCTTCATTTCAATGTGTTCCTGTTAGCATTACTGTTAGCGTTCCCTGCTCTTTGCTGGGGCGCTTGAGTTGATTACCGATAAGGGCCGTTTCACAGGCTGAGTCTGACCTGCTGCTAGTGAGTAAACTGTTGACGTGTCATGTGGAAATTAGGAGCGGGAGATGCTGACGGGGTTTGGCAGCCGTGGGAGATCGGGAGAGTGATAAGATTCTAATCAGAGACTTCCTATCCACACTGAGGCTATAAAGATGGTCCTATTATCTGTGGACCAATTGGCATTTATTTCTGAAGCATAGAAATCTGTGAAGGAAGTATTCATGTCTAAGGTCAGGAGTCTTTCCAGAAAATCTAATTAGCTTAGTCCATCCATATGATTCTGAGATCTAATGTGTCTATAGGTGAGGTTTAGTTGATCCATCCATATTGTTGTGAGATCTAATTTAGTGTCATTGTGGTATGATTTGTCCTTCCACGTCATTGAGATCTATTTTAATTAACAAATTAGATCTCAAACTAATATGTATAAACCCTGCACAGCTTACATCTCACAATCAGGATAGCCACATTAGATCTCACAGTCATGTTGATAGGCAAATTAGATCTCAGTCATGTAGATGGGCTTTTTCTCTTTCCACATGCCTGTAAGATCTAAGCAGCGCAGTATTCATTCACATTATTGTGAGATCTAATTTGTTAGAGCTAAGCCTACCTGAAGGTTGTGATGTGCATTGAGACCATCAGCATATTCACACAATTTAATTTGCCCATCTATATACAATTGACCCTTCGCTAAGCCCTGTCCCAGAATTTTGGGCAACCAATCGCAGCTCTCGAATGGATAGCAACTGTCATCGAGTCCAACACCTCAGACAAGCTCAAGTCTCTCTTCACTCTCTCGTCCTTCTCTCGTCCTTCCTTCTCTCTCTCCACTGTCTCTTCCTTCTCTCTCTCCACTGTCTCTTCCTTCTCTCTCTCCACTGTCTTCTCTTTCTCTCTCTCCACTGTCTTCTCTTTCTCTCTCTCCACTGTCTTCTCTCTCTCTCTGTCTCTCTCTCTCTACACTCCCTTCTCTCTCTCTCTACACTCCCTTCCCTCTCTCCACACTCCCTTCCCTCTCTCCACACTCTCTTCCTTCTCTCTCCCCCTCTTTCTCCCCACACTCTCTCTCATCCTCATCTCTCTTCCTTCCCCATCTTCAACCCCCCCCCCACCCACCCCCCCACTCTGTCACACACACATCCACAGGTCTTCAACTCTGCTTCCAATCCAGCCCGACACAGACACTTCAGTCACACCGTGAAAAACACTTCAAAGAGACAGACTGCAGAGTTTAACTAAAGAAATAAGGGGGAAAAGAGAGGAGGCGGAGTGAGAGGAATACTCAGGCAGAAGAGACATGTCTTCCTTTGATTTCTCCTCCGTTCTACATCTTCATAAGCGCTGTGTAGGTTAGCGGTTATTGTATAGCCGTACCTGGGAGGGGGTAGGAGCACCATAATGGAAGCCTATAGCTTGGTCATGGTACGTTGGGGGATCGGGCGGTTTGCCTCTGGCCCTGTGGTGGAGCTCTACCCCTCTGGGAAGATGCTACCTTAACATGTTATTACTGTATGACATCCACAGAAAGCAATCTGAAATGATTTAACACAAGGAAGAAATCCCGTGGGTCTCGGCCGGTACATGAGTTCCTACAACTGTATCTTACTAACTCAGCACTTTTATGAAAGCTGACATCTTACAGGATTTAAGTTGTGTTGGGGTTTTGTTGATTTATGTCGCATTGGCACAATATGACGGTTGGAGTGGTTTGCAAGGGTTGGACATACATGTTCCCCCCAGAGCCTCCTACTACACACAGAGAGCCCCAGAGCCTCCCACTACACACAGAGAGCCCCAGAGCCTCCTACTACACACAGAGAGCCCCAGAGCCTCCTACTACACACAGAGAGCCCCAGAGCCTCCCACTACACACAGAGAGCCCCAGAGCCTCCCACTACACACAGAGAGCCCCAGAGCCTCCTACTACACACAGAGAGCCCCAGAGCCTCCCACTACACACAAACTGTTGTTATTCATTCCATCCAGTTGGAGTGGTATTTGAGGTGGGATTTAATTGGCCCCAGACAATGACAAGTTCATCAGACCCGTCATATGCAGTTCATTTGATCGTCCGCTCTCATAGAAGATTACAATGGGAAATCAAAGTGAAAACCCCTCTTTCAAAAAGGAGTGTATCAGGGGAAATTGCATACTTACATTCACAGCTCTCTGGGGGGTCTTGATAGACCTCTGAACAGAAGGAGGCTGTTAACTGGATTTTGCATCTGTCTGCAAAACAAAAGTACACTTGTTACCATCGTGATTCTACCATTCATTGGATGTCAAAACCAAGCATAGCAGGACCCAACATCCCTAGCCTGACAACAAATACCAAATACCAAATGTCAAATTCGACCGTCTAGCCAAGGGGTAGGCAACTAGATTTAGCTGCAGGACGATTTTTGTCGGAGCGGATGGTCGGGGGACGGGAACATAATTATAATAATTTGTACACTGCAAATTGACCACAACTAAGCTGAAAAATAAATTATATTGGAAAATAACAATAATTTCATGCCTTGATTAAATTGAGACACGATCACATACGTCTCTTTTTTTTATTTGTGGGAATACTTGGGAACAGATTTCCTAAATTAAAATATTTTTTTGCTGAATTCCAAAACGAAAATCTCTTGCGAGCCGGCAAAATAAATCACTTGTGGGCCAGTTTTGGCCCGTGGGTCGCCGGCCCCTGCTTTAGCCCCTACCGTATGGTAGGTGTGATTTCCAGTATGTTTAGATCAAGTGTCTAAGAAAGGAGATGATTTGGAATTGGGCCCGACGTCGTCAACTTGAACTGGAGTTCTCAGGTGGACCTGCTGTTTTGCCTGGAGACAGAAATACCTCCCATTTCCTTTACCCTCACAAACCCCACGACTCACTTCCTCCAATTGCCCTCCTGCCCTGCGCAGGTGGCCGAGGTGTGTGTGTGTGGGTGTGACCTTCCTGTGATCTTCCTTACTTTAAGAACCGCATGTCCCACCTCCCATAACTACCTGTCTAGCTTAAGGTTAGCCTCGGATTTCTTTTCTCCCAGCACCACCACAGTATCGGCTAATTTGGGGTCCAGGAGATGTTGGAGAATTAGCCCGAGTAGATCACTTTGAAAGGAGTTAGGGTGGCCTAGCTGTGTTGACCTGGACGATTACTCTCTCCTCAGTCCTTTACCCGATGCACTAGACTTCCAGATACCACTCTCTGTGTGAGGTGTGCGAGGGTAGGGGGGATGGTGTAGTGTAGGGAGTGGAAGAGGAGTAGTCGATAGAGAGGAGAGACTAAACCTGAGCAAGAGAGAGAGATGCGATCGACTGCAGGCGCTCATAAACGGGACTCTATGCTTTGATGCTTTCAACATCCGAGTCTCTGCAGTAGCTCTTGCAGCTCCAGTCTTATGAGCCATTTGTATGAGGGCGGCAGGTAGCCTAAGGGTTGAGAGCAAAAGGTTTGGTGTGTTCCAATGCTCTTTGTTTAGCGGTTCAGACAGACAACACTCCGCCTGGTTCCGTTGTGTTGTTCTATAATGGGAGTGCTTAGTTGCAGGACTCACATTCATGCACACACACAATGTACAAAAATGTAAATGTCTATTGAGAGTCAGGGCAGGGGGTTCCGCTAAATGTTTTCTCAGGGCTGCTTAGACTGTGAAAAGTGATTGGAGGCAAGACAACTGTCTCTAACGGTGCATGATTCCTATTCTAAAGGCTTAAACGTCACTCAGTCTTGAAACAACACTGAAAGACCACCGTGAAATTTAAAGACCAAGAATAAATCATTTTGGGGTGTATGTAAATGTAGTTATTGTAGAGTTCACTAATACAGTCTGCTATGTGTGTTAACGCCACAGGTACTACTCAGACATCAGTAAGATGCCGGCCATCAGTGACCAGGACATGAATGCGTACCTGGCAGAGCAGTCCCGGATGCACATTAACGAGTTCAACAGCATGAGCTCCCTCAGTGAGATCTACTCCTACGTGGGCAAATACACAGAGGAGGTACGGCAACACACTGTGGACAAAAATCACACGTTACTCAAGACAGGAAGCAGTGTGCCGTTTGGCACACAAACAGTCTTTCACAGTTGGGTTTGAACTAGACATGTATTGTAGATGACTTGTAGGTTCAAATGATCTGGATGATGTATATAAAATACATTTACAAGCAACCCAGACGCCGTATATCAGCGTTTTTCAAACCTCTCCTGGAGGACTCCCAACCATGTCTTTGTTCTAATCCAGAGATAGCACACTTGTCAACTTATATCATCAAGCCATTCTGTCATTGAATCAGATGTGCTAGTTCAGGTCTTCAACTAAATTGTGAGATGTCTAGTGGTCCCAGAGTAAAGGTTTGAGAAACACTGTCATACAGAAACAACATTTCTTGTATGTGCCATTACTCCGCCATTGTTAGCTGGTGTGTGAGGCTGGGCATTTAGTAAGTGGCTGACATTAACACGTGGACTGGCTGTGTGTGTCTCCCTCTGACAGATTGTGTGTGCGCTGGAGCAGGACGACGCCGCCAGGAAACAGAGACTTTCCTTCAAGCTGGAGCAGGTGGTGGCCTTCATGAGCCTGGAGAGCTGAGGACCGCACTTCCCAGGGCGCACTGGGAGACCCGTCAGAAACCGAGCCGTGCCTGAGCAAAGACCTGTCCATCGATCTCTTCACCATCATCATCAGAACTCCTCTCCTTTTCAAATACACATTTCCCTTTTTCTTCCTCTTCCTGACAAGTGTTTGGCATCTCATCCGCTCAGCTTCATAGGACGTGTAGAGAAGACTGGCTGATGGACTGACTGGAGAGGCGGCAGAGCTAGGGAATGCTTTTCCCACCATGAAATGGGAAGGCCTCATCCCAGCTTTGCTGCGTAGAAGAGTCTGATGGAGGGGTGGTTATCTGCCAGCTCACCATATCGCCATAATTTACACCTTCATGTTGGGGGAGAAACAAACAAACATTCTATTTATGTTGCCTTTCAAAATAACGCTGATAGCAAAGTATTTTGCAACCACAATGTTGGGCGTCAATTTGTTCAGACTTTCTGAATAGGATATTAGTCAATGAAACTACTACAAAGTACAGTTAATTGTAGTGCTATAGTCAACATCACATCAAATGTGGAAAAACAAAGTGGTATTATATCAATGAGGAAAGCAAAATGCCCACCTCTGAAGGCAAAGAACGGAAGGTTTGCCTGGTTCACACAGTTCCTACTAGTTATTCATACATACTGTAACTGGATGATTGGGAAATAGGCTAACTCCAGAATTTGTTTTCTCAATGTAGCTTTGAGGTGTATTTAAAGAGACTCCGATAGGGGCTGGGGAGAGTTAGTGCTTCTTGAATTTTCAATTTTTTTCTGTAAACCTGACTGACTTTGAAACACAGAGAAGAACAGAGTCCCCTTTGTGGCATTGGCGCAAGTCTGCTCCCACCCACCAACCAACCCCTCCATGTAACTCTATAGATAAAACAATGCTCATCTTCTGAATCCGTCTGGCTTGTGTGGTACCTGCTAAATTATCCTGACTACTTTAAGACTCATTAGTGGAGGGCAGACCCAGGTCTGTCTGGTCCTCCTCTGTGACAAGAAGCACACGTCCAACTCTTGACCACAGTGACATGACCGCTCTGACATCTGGAACGGTCAGTCTGACCCGTGTGTGTTGCTAACAGATGGGGGTCACTCGCCGGTCTATCAAAGCACACACACAGAAACAGATACACACTGCAGCTGTCCAAGACCTGTTCTGAGGGAAACACTACTTCTGATACACCCTCTGATCACACTGTCTGAATACTAGGGGAGCTGACTGACATCTACTGAGAGGAGGAGAGTGACGCTTTACTAGAGCAGTCTTACCATGGACCCGTGCTTTACACATGACAGAGACGGTGCGGTACTGCCTAAATGGGATCTGCTGTGCTGAGAGAGAGAGAGTGATTCTTTCACTGGACCTTCTGTAAAGACTTGGGACAGGGGGAATCAAGTGATGGACATAACTGGTCAGCCGAAAAACCAAAGGAGCTTGACATTTAAAAAGACAAAAAAAGTCATTTAAAACAATGTATTTAAAGTGCTACAAAGGAAAGGAAATGACACAGGAAAAGGATTTGGTGAAAGAAAAACCCACCCCACAACAACAACCAACAAAAACTTAACCCTGTGTGATTTTCTGACCTCAGTGTGCCGAAGGGGGAGCCGCGGACGAGTCCCGCCCTCCTCGCCGTCCCGGTTTCTCCCGCGTTTGGCACACCGTTTTTCTTCCCTCTTTGTCCGGTTTTCCACGTCAGTTTTTTTGCACAAGTGTGGAGACAGCTTCCACGCGGGAATCCCAAACTCGGAGCGCTCTGGGTCGCTCATGTTGTGTGTTAGTGTAGTCGTCCTCTGCGGCCTTCTCCAAGCCTCAAAAAGCTGAAACTAGAGTGGGAAAAACAAACAAGTGAACGTCAAATAGACGACCGGAAACTAACGGACATGAACAGACTTGTGGAATGTGATAACCTGGATGAGATAGATAAATAGATGGAGAGAGAGAGAGAGAGAGAGAGAGAGAGGAGAGAGAGAGAGAGAGATGGAGAAACGATGGAGAAACCCTCCTTTCCTTTAGACCTCTGACCTTTCTTTTGCCTTGACAACGTGCCCCATGTGGTGATGTGAATGTGTGAAGACCGCCCTCGGTCCACCTTGAGTCCTTATTGGCTTTTTAAGCGCATGTAAAACTTCAATCTAAAACAAACAAAAAAACAGGAAAATAGAGAAAATAAGCCTTGCAAATGATGATGTGGATGTGTTCTTTTCTTTATTTTGCTTGGAAGAAAAATCAGATGGAAAAAAGTGGATTGTTCATGTTAAAACTATAACTAACCGTTAAGGTGGAACCTTTATCTCCTGTTCAGCCCATGCAAACCTCTCATTAACATGTTTTGTGAAAGTGTTAGATGCTAATAAGAATAAAGTGGTACCTTAAAATCCAATATATTATATACCCTTGCATGCTGACCTATTTGGATGTTATGAAACGGAACTGCCTTGCAATCAAATATATTTATCTACTGCTACTAGGAAACTTTTAAACGGTTCACAAGCAAAAACGGTTATTTTAGATTCTCATGGACTGATATAGTACAATAACTCATGACTACGTTTTCCTTCATTCATTCCTTTTGCTTAGTCCTTTTAAGGTAGATTGTCCTCTACCACCCACCCATATTCATGTTTCATTAGTTTGTGACTATTCACCAGTTCCAGAGCCCTCAGGTTTTGGGTCTGGTAGACTGATTCTCCAGTGAGCTTCTTGCTCTTGTCTTGGCTGCTATTGCATCTCTAGCGTCTGTCTGTGTTTTCATCCGGAAACTATCTCCCCTAGCCTATAACCTTACCTTTTGATTCTATTATTTTATTATAAAAAATGTTACATTTATTTTTGTAAGTCTAGGACTGGCTGCAAAGCTACCTTGTAAACGTCTTATTGCAGCACGTTACTATAGTTGTGGATATGTTTTTTAGATTCTGTTTTGACAGTTGTTTGATCTGAAGAGCTCAGTGCATACAGAACAAGCATTAGGAAGAGGGCTTTCAGGGTTCAATGCAAAAGTTTGCTCATACAAAACCCATTTAGCTCACAACATATCCTCGTTATTGGGATTTTTATGGTCTTATGGGGTGTACAATACATTCAAGTCAATCATAGATGACTTGTCTGTAAATATCTGCTGTCCTTCGATTCTACTGTTACATCAACAGGGGGACTGCACACACTTACTGAAAAGATACTGGTTGTTTTTACTCAGAAACCCCCTCTCCTTTGGACAGTTTCAAACGATTAAACGTCTGTTGATTAACTAATCAAAGACAAACAGGTGTCTGGAAGCTTCAATAACCAGACTAGTTCTGATCCTGAAAGCTTTTGATTTACTTAGTTGATTGAGTTTTGTAAATTGTGTTTTATTTCTGTCATACCATCCCTGTCCATTGTGTCAAATGTATGGAACATATCATCCTCAACTGTCTAAAGGGGCGTGTTCTGTCAGTGGTTGGTGTTCAGGTTCGAGGGGGTACATTCATGAACAGCGCGTTCTCTGGACGTTCTACACTGCCAACATTTTCAAACTGTTCACAAAGCTTGTAATCAAATGAACCATAAGAAAGAATAGAAAGGAATCTACTGTATTCATTCAGTCTGATGGAAAATGTGATTTCCCAGGAAATGTAGTTGGGAAATAAGACTGAGCTTGGCAGGGAACTCAACGTTTAGGAGCCCTTGTTAAGTTTAGAGGCTGTAAATTGACCCACTATCACCCATGTATCATATTGTGTCTAGCTACCCAAAAGTTTCCTCCTCTCTAAGTCCATTGTTTTTATTTGGTGGTGAAGAGAATGAATGTCCTAGAATCTCGTAGTGAATCTGCCCCCCGGTGTTGTAACATACGGTGTTTCCATTTTTCCCCATGCTCCCCAGCGACAAAGCTCGTCTGAGACTACTGATCCCTTTGTTGCCGAGGTACTCGATAAAGCTTCCACCTTCAACGTTTTGTAGGAACTAAAGATAGGTCCTTCTAGAGCTCAGTGTTATAGCAGGTGTTACAGAAACAGTAGAAAATACTTTTACTATTACCATATTTGCTGAGAGATAAAGAGTATCCTATAAAGAGATAAAAGCTAAACCTGGGGGGGAAAGACCAGCTTCTCTAACTTTGCTATAATTAATTGTATACCTGTGTATGTAAATATAATGCATTCCTATTTTGCAGTCAAGAACAAAATACTATTTGTAATATAGAATAAACTTTATTATGAAACAAAGTGGTTTGTAGTTTGTGTTCATTCATATGAAATTATTTATTTAAATCTTGTTATTTTAGATGGCACAGCAGGTGTGAAATGGAATTAATGGAATTCATTTCATATAATGGGAAGCAAAATGCACCGTTTCCCTCAGAGTAGAACAGCACAGGTGATGCAGAAACCTATAGCACTTTGTTTTAATATGTTGTATGGTAACCCTTTGTAGAAAAGCAATTGTACACTTGAAGTTGTTTGTTGTGATGGCTTCGCCTCGTATCTAAGGCCGCAGCACAGCCGTGCTAAAAACAGTCACAACACACGCCCTCTCGTGTACAATTGCTTTATAGGCAATTCCACGGTAACATAATGATGCTGAGACTCAGATTTTCACTTTTAAATGCATGTCAAACAAAAACAAACGCTTGCAAAGTCAAACAAACCATACAACTCTATGCACAAGGACTACTTGTATCAATTTCCACTGAACATTTTACAAAAACATTTACTTAAAGAACAGAGCAGATGCAAAGTTTGGTAACAGAATGACAGTTGGTGCTGTTTGTGCCGTCATTCTGTTACCAAACTTTGCATCTGCACTGTTCTTCAAGTGAATTTGTTTTTGTGACATTTTCAGTGGAAATTGTTAAAAGTTGTCCTTGTGCATAGTTTCTCAATTTCAGAACATTATCTTTCAAAGTACTGACCATTTTAGCTGAGCTGGTTAATATTACTGTGGTAAAAATTCCACTGCAGTCCAATATGAGTTTATGAGCTTTGTAGTAATTATTTATTTGTTTATTTGTCAGGGACCATGTACAACATGCCATTGCACCAGATGTAGCTAAATAGAAAATGTTCATCTGTAGTCCCTAGTAGGTTTGCTAGCCAGAGAAATGGCAAAATTCCCATTGGTGCAGAGTAGTTAGCATAGCTAAGCTAATAGGGACTGAACAGATGAAGGAAGTTAAATAATGGGAAAACATCCAATACTTTGACTGAAGGTATCAAACGGCTGAGGTGAATTACAAAGTAAATAAACCCACAAAAATGTGCTAAATACACTGAGCCATCAAACAGCAAGGACAGAAGGGAGCCATACAACATGCCTGAGACGCCTGATGCCAATTAGGCTGCCTGTGGCTGTAAGAGAATCCCAGCGCTTCAGACAGACAGTTCTCCTGGTCAACAGATCTGGGATCAGCTTTCCTGTACACTACATTATCATTTACCATTATATAATATAATATGCCATTTAGCAGACGCTTTTATCCAAAGCGACTTACAGTCATGCGTGCATAAATTTTTTTTTTGTGTATGGGTGGTCCCGGGGATCGAACCCACTACCTTGGCGTTACAAGCGCCGTGCTCTACCAGCTGAGCTACAGAGAACCACTAGCCATTAGCAGGTAAGAATAACACCAACCCTGGGGTTGCAGTAAAGACCAGAAAAAATGACGGCAAAGAGAGAGAGGGTGACAGAAGAGGAAAGAGAGGGAGGTTAGAAAATAGAGTGGAGAGAGAGAGACCTGCCAATCTGAGTGAACCCACAGTGAGGGAGGGAGGGAGGGAGGGAGGGTGTGTGTCACTCTTCCTCAGCATGGGGTGACGGGGACAGGGAATTGAATTGGTCCTTGTGTCACCCTATATAGCAGCCACTGAACTGGGAGTAATGGGGGAGAGAGAGTGGGAGAGGGCGCAGAGCGTCACCCTAAAATTCCAACCAGTGAACTGGGAATAATGGAAGAGAGAGGTGACTGGGGGATGAGGAGGGGAGAGAGGGTGACGGGGGGCACGATGACGATGAAGCCATGCTATGACTGTGGCTGTGCTAGGGGGGGTTGTTTTTCACACTCCCACAGCCACAGCCACAGCCTTTACCACTTGTTTACTAAAGGTTTAAAGGAAAAGTTCACTTTTTTAGGTCTTAGCTGATTTTCGACGTACCTAGGGTGTTGTCATTAGTTACTGTTTCCAACAGAAACGTATAAAACTATTTGGATGAAAATGACAACGACGTCAAGACTAAGTTACAACCTACTTTGCCCCCCCCCCAAAAAAAAAGTTAACTATCCCTTTAACATGAATACGATCAAGGTGAGGTAGTTTAACTAGAAGTCTGCCCAACATTAGACTCAGGGTAGCAACACTGTTGTCTCTCTAATGGCACACTCATTTTCTCTACTGAACTCCCTGAAGAAGGAAGCTGGGAGAGAGGTGAGAGGAGGGTTTGAAAGGTGTCATACCGCAACCAGTGCTAAAAGCCTCTCTCTTCCTGTCTTTCCTCTCTTTCCTCTCTTTCCTCCTCTCTCCCTTCATCTTTAAAAGGTCTCTTCCCTCCTAAAAGTCGTCTAGTCTTTCACTTGTTGCATTACACTCTCCTATAAGCCATTGACTGTTTCACACATTCGTGAAAGTCCACTGCTTCACTGAAAACACCTGGAAATGTTTGTCCAGAAACCCTTAACCGGTGTCACATCTCTCTCACGTCACTCTCTCTCTCTCTCTCTCTCTCTCTCTCTCTCTCTCTCAGTGGTCTCGCAATACTTGTTCACTTCCCTTCATGGATTTAAAAGTGGATGTTATAAGAATGGTGAAAACTATCTAGCCACTGCTTACACCACAGCAATCCTTTTAAATGCGAGGGTGGGGGGTGCATAAGTGCACATTTTGGGAGATCGGGATGCAGGCACATTCTCAGGACAGTGTATTACCCTGCATAGTCAAGTCCTTACATCATTACACACTCCTCATCCCTGTAGTAAAAAAACAGTATTTCAACTGGAGAGTTGAATGAGTGAGATTTCAGTAATGTACCCCAAACCCAGACATTGATGGTTGACGGCTGGCTGGATAAGAATGCTACCATGACTGCGCCATGCTAGGCTAATTCCTGGGATTGACTGCGAGCGCTATTGACAGCTGCGTGCGAGCAGATGGAAGCAATTACCATTATTAGTCTGCCATTCGCCGTCCTATCTGTCTTGGTAAACATCTGCGGAGAGACAACAGAGAGCCGGTAGCTGTATCGCCCAGCGAGGAAAACGGGACGGGCCAAATAATGCCCCAGCCAGCCCTCCAAACAAACACAGAAGGTGGGGATAGATGGGGAGAAAACCCCCCACAGCACACTATCCACAGGGCCAGGAATAGAAGTCTGTCAGGGGCTCCCTAGCTAGGGTGGAGGGGCCCAAGGAAGCACACACTACCAGTTTGATTTGGACTCACAACAGGAGTCTTACTGGGGTAATAATGAAAAAGACATTACAGACAACAGACTTTACAATTTACATACAGCTCCCTGTCAGAGATACTGTACAGTGGTGCCCCGGGTATAACTCTGGTGAGTCAAGGCCCTAGACCATGTCCTGTTTGGGGTATAACTCTGACAGATAAAGGCTTTTTAGTGCTCCCTGTTCTTAGTGACTCATTTTCAGCTTTTTATATCAGCTAATGGACAATGCTTTGGCCTATAGTTCCACAACCATCCCAACTACCGTCCCTCTCTCAATGGCTCCCTCTGTTACAAATCATCCAACTTCCTGAGATGAGGCGTACTAGGCACCGCTTCACACTAAACGCTCCCATCGATCTGCCCCGCTACATACAAGCATCCACGCCCTACCACATACAAACACACACATGCATCACTAACACACACCCCATGCACACACACACACACACACACCGCTGAACCACCTCCATGAAGGTCAGTACATGACTCTCTTTATGGCCGCACAAATCCACTCCGCCATTTCCCCCCTAATCAATAACGACCATGCAACCCATTCTTAACTGCACAGCCCATTTGCCAGCACAACTCTCTCTGACACACGTATTACAGAGACCAATACACACCAGGCCACGGGCCCACATCAGAACAAATTGATTATCCGTTTGAAAAATACATTCCATTTATTATTGTAGTATTGTTTTCTTACATCTCAAATCACTTCCCTGGTGATAATGGATTTGAGCTGTGCAGAAGGGACCGGCAGACTCCTATAGGCCGTCCATTGGAAATGAACAGGAAAACACAAAGCCAACTGGCCAGGGCAATGGGAGGTAATAAATAACATGTTGGAGCTGTGATTCCTATATCCTATCCTTCAACATTGCTAATGCACCTACTGATTGTAGTACATTTTAGTCATTAGGAGACGTGCTGTCTTGTCAACTCTTTTGGTCATTGTTGGCAAGAGAGAACAAACAGATCTGGGACCAGGCTAGTATTGTGTGGATTCGGGGTATAACCAACCTTGTCATTCAGAACAGGGAGGTCCTGTGTGTGGGGAAGCCTTGAGGAATTGTGGGAGCTACGGATAGTATCCCAAGATTTCTCTCTCTCTCTCTCTCTCTCTCTCTCTCTCTCTCTCTCTCTCTCTCTCTCTCTCTCTCTCTCTCTCTCTCTCTCTCTCTCTCTCTCTCTCTCTCTCTCTCTCTCATGCACACACACACACCACAAACAAACACAGAAAGGCATTTTAAGTGCCCAACTCCAATCAGACCCTCTCCTCTCTCAGCAGCCTGATGAGCCGATGAAAGCAACACCACAGGGGATGGGAACGAACCAATGGCAAGAGAATCGCCGCCACCAATCGCTAATCCAATTCGGTGGCAGATATTGATATTGATGAGGGCCATAAATTGGGCCGTCCAGATGTCCCCTGCTCCCTTAATCAATGTTGATCTCCTTAATCAATCGCTGGCTGCCAAGGTTTTTTTTTACGTTTCCACGTCTCTAGTGGGAAAGGCCCCAGCAATGCAGTCACAGGTGGTTGGTTACAAAGTGGCTGTTTGCATTGATGTGCTGTGGGTAATTGGAGTTTGTACCCAGTGAAAGACAAGGAGGTGAGGGGACTGCATATTTGGGGGGCTGCAGTTTAGTAGGTGTCGCCACAGGTACTGGGGGAAATGAATGGTGGGAGAGAACATTGTCAGGAGTGATGTAAGTAAACAACAAGAAGGAAGGTGGTAAGCGCAAACATGCACACACATACATTACCAAACATTTTGAGGTAGACAGACACACACACACACACAGATGACTGTGGCTACAGAGCTGGCGAGGTAGGTGACAGCTTGGTGGCACAGCTGGGAGAGACAGATAACCCTGCGCCTGTCTGTGGAACTGACAAAAACAACAACATCCTTCCTCAGAAGACAGAGAGAGAAAGTTCTCTCCTTCTCTCCCAGTGAGTGTGTGTGTGTGTGTGTGTGTGTGTGTGTGTGTGTGTGTGTGTGTGTGTGTGTGTGTGTGTGTGTGTGTGTGTGTGTGTGTGTGTGTGTGTGTGTGTGTGTCTGTGTGTCTGTGTCTGTGTCTGTGTGTCTGTGTCTGTGTGTCTGTGTGTGTGCTCTTTGACAGATAGTATGAGGTGTCAGTAATCGATTTACACAGCAATCACTGATCTGCAGCGCCGCGGAGACCTTCACAGCGTCCTTGAATGACGAATCAGCCTGCTTATCTGAACCCATCGAGAGAGGACCTGATTAATGGCTGTGGTTGTGTTTGTGTCTATTTAAAGTCTCTATAAAAACATTTAGCCAAAGCAGTGTGTTCCTGTTAATGTCCCAGTTACATTGAGAAAAACGTGAGGAGGTGTGAGTTAAGGCCTTATTTCTGGGTATGTGTTCCAGCGAATGGCAATGGTCTGACACTTTTGAGTAGAGTGTTACCAACCTCTGCAAATGAACTAACAGAAACTATCTTTGCTATTAGGAATAATGAGGTGAGGCAGGGCAACGTTTGTTGTAATCACCACAGCACTGACTAAAAGTACAACATGCATTATTCTGCAATTGCACTCTGTTCAACACTGTATATACACTGCATTCAGAAAGTATTCAGACCCCTTTTCTTTTCCCACATTTTGTTACGTTACAGCCTTATTCTAAAATTGATTAAATAAAATAAAATCCTCATCAATCTACACACAATACCCCATAATGACAAAGCAAAAACAGGTTTTTCGAAATGTTTGCAAATGTATTACAAATAAAAAACAGAATTACATTATTTACATAAGTATTCAGACCCTTTGCTATGAGACTCGAAATTTAGCTCAGGTGCATCCTGTTTCCATTGATCATCCTTGATGTTTCTACAACTTGATTGGAGTCCACCTGTGGTAAATTCAATTGATTGGACATGATTTGGAAAGGCAAACACCTGTCTATATAATGTCCCACAGTTGACAGTGCGTGTCAGAGCAAAAACCAAGAAATTAGGTCGAAGGAATTGTCCTTATAGCTCAGAGACAGGATTGTGTCAAAGCACAGATCTGGGGAAGGGTAACAAAATATTTCTGCAGCATTGAAGGTCCGGAAGAACACAATGGCCTCCATCATTCTTAAATGGAAGAAGTTTGGAACCACCTAGACTCTTCCTAAAGCTGGTCGCCCGGCCAAACTGAGCAATCGGGGGAGAAGGGCCTTGGTCAGGAAGGTGACCAAGAACCCGATGGTCACTCTGACAGAGCTCCAGAGTTCCTCTGTGGTCCTTCCAGAGGACAACCATCTCTGCAGCACTCCACCAATCAGGCCTTTATAGTAGAGTGGCCAGACGGAAGCCACTCCTCAGTAAAAGGCACATGACAGCCAACTTGGAGTTTGCCAAAAGGCAAAAGTCTCTGAATATCCTTGAGTGGCCCAGCTGAGCCCGGACTTGAACCCGATCGAACATCTCTGGAGAGACCTGAAAATAGCTGTGCAGCAACTCTTCCCATCCAACCTGACAGAGCTTGAGAGGATCTGCAGAGAAGAATGGGAGAAACTCCCCAAATACAGGTGTGCCAAGCTTGTAGCGTCATACCCAAGAAGACTCAAGGCTGTAATCGCTGACAAAGATGCTTCAACAAAGTACTGAGTACAGGGTCTGAATACTTATGTAAATGTGATATTTCGTTTCGTTTTCTTTTTCTACAAACCTGTTTTTGCTTTGTCATTATGGGGTATTGCATGTAGATTGATGAGGGGGGGGAAACAATTTAATCAATTTTAGAATAAGGCTGTAACGTAACTGTTATGTATGGTACAACGTGCTGTACGTCGTACTGTACGTTGTTATGGTTTACGACAGTGTGCTGCTTTACGGATGAATGGGTTGTCAGAATGTGTGGCACATGTCATTAAACGACAGAGTGATGTACAATGTGAAACTGTGCAGATGTCCGTTCTTCTACAGCTAGGCTAGATATAACATTGGCGACGAAGATGGCTGAATTCAGTTTACCACCGCCAGCACCATTCCTCGCCGTGCCTGGCGAACCTCCAGTCCCGTGGAATAACTGGCTTGAAAGTTTTAACACTTATCTCGAAGCTATGGACTTTTCTACAATCTCCGACAAGCGGAGGACAGCACTGCTCCGTCACTGCCTTGGTACAGAGGGACAGAGGATTTTCAGAGCGCTTGGATCGGCTCCTACATTCACTGCTGCAGTCAGCCTCCTACGGAACCACTTCGCCGGGAAAGAGCGAGTGCTCCTCCGACGCTACCGGCTACGGAAGAGACACCAACGGCCGGGTGAGTCCATTCAAAGCTATGTGGCTAATCTGAGGGATTTGGCTAGCTCTTGTAACTACGGGACACTTCAGGACGAGATCATCAGGGATCAGTTGATAGAGGGGACGTTGTGTGAAAAGACAAGGGAGAAACTGCTTTTGGAATCGGATAATTTACAACTAGATGGAGCTATTAAAATAGCACTCCAGGTTGAAGCGGCGTTGGAATGCTCTTCTATGCTAACAGACAGCTCTGCAGCATACACTCGGCCCCCAGCCATTCTCACACAGCAGCTTCAGCCCGAGCAGGCGCACTACAACGATCACGCGCTGCGCACGCCCTCCCACGTCGATAGCTGCATGGACACAGACACCGGCATGCCCGTGCAGCAGGCACACAGACAAACAAACAGAAGTAGCTGTGGCAACTGTGGGGCTAGCTCTCACAATTCAAGGGCTTCAAACTGCCCAGCCCGTGGGAAAATATGCAAGAACTGTTCAAAATACAATCACTTTGCGAAAGTGTGTCGTTCTGCCCCTGCTACTAGCTCCACCCAGAACAGGCCCTTCGTTTCATCTCACTCTCAACATGAACACACGGAAATCCGAACCGTCTCCACCAACCATGTGTCATTCAGGACATGCACTGTGCAGCTGGGTGAGGTGGGTTTGCCTTTGCTGCTGGATACTGGCGCTGCGGTGTCATTGCTCAACCTTGCCACTTACTACAAGTTTTTCAGTCACCTACCACTCCAACAGCCCTCCACTGCCCTGTGTGGGTACGGTAGATCCCTCCAGGTCCCAGTACACTACGGCACTACGGCACCAAACATCTGCCATCATTCACATTTCATGTTGGAAAGCGGGGTGCCAACCTCCTGGGCCTCGACCTCTTCACAGGCTTGGGATTCACACTGAGAGATGACAGTGGGTCAGCTATCTACCAGGTTACCTGCACATGGCAACAGAACTGGCCGACTCTGTTTGATGGACTGGGCTCCCTCACAGCCTTTACTCACAGGCCCCTAGTGAATCCGGAAGTGACCCCAGTCATGCAGCCCCTGCGGCGCATTCCCTTTGCACTGCGTGATGACGTCACAAAATATCTCCAGTCACAGTTGGATGCAGGCATCATTGAGCCAGTAAACGCTGCCCCCTGGATTTCAAACTTGGTCATTGCAACCAAAAAGTCAGGTGGAATCCGGACCTGTGTGGATCTCCGTGCTGTGAACAAGGCCGTTGTCCCGGATAAGTACCCCTTGCCTACAGCTGAGGAGCTGACCGCACAATTCCATGGCTCCACGATCTTCACGAAGCTTGACCTTCATCAGGGTTATCTTCAGGTACCCCTCCATGCAGCTAGCAGAGACCTCACGGCCTTTGTCACACATGCTGGCGTGTTCAGATATACACGCATGCCTTTTGGATTTAGCTCCGCCCCCAGCTGCTTCCAGAAGGTGATGAGCACCATCCTCGCTGGAATACCTGGTGTGGCGGTCTATCTGGATGACATCGTGGTCCACGGCCCTGACCATGATTATCGACTCCACAGAGTATTCAGTGCTCTACTGCGGAACAACCTGACCCTTAACGGTGGAAAGTGCACCTTTGCAGCTCCAGCCGTCGAGTTTGTGGGCTTCCGCCTGTCGGCCAAAGGCATTGCCCCACTCATGTCGAACATTGAAGCCGTCCACCGGATCCCGGAACCGACCTCAGCCTCTCAGGTGGCCTCATTCTTGGGCATGACAGCTTACTACCTCCGGTTTCTGCCCCACTACTCGCAGACCACAGCGCCCCTTCGCCAGCTCCTCAAGGATGAGCCATGGGCCTGGACGGCGGCCTGCTCAGACGTGGTCCGCTCACTGAAGAGCCAGCTCACCACAGCCCCAGTCTTGGCTCACTTTGACCCCGTCTGCCACACCATTGTCACATGTGGAGCACTAGAAGCTGTCCTCTCACAGCTGCAGAATGGCATTGAGAGGCCCGTCGCCTTCGCCTCAAGGGCCCTGAGCCCCACAGAACAACGGTACTCTGTGGGTGAACGAGAAGCACTGGCCTGTGTCTGGGCGTGCGAAAGGTGGCACCTCTACCTATATGGCCGTCTGTTCACACTCCGAACCGACCACCAGTCCCTCACAACGCTACTGTCAGCATCAGGAACTGGCCACAAGCCACTTCGGCTGCACAGATGGGCCGACCGCCTCAGACAGTATGACTATCAGCTGAATTTCACTCCGGGGAGGGATAACGTGGTGGCAGACCTCCTCTCACGCTCCTTTGACGCTCCTACTCCAACCGTCTTGCCAGACGACAACGAAACAGAGCTTGTACAAATGCTCTACTCTCCTCTTCAGTCAGTCGTCTCACTGGAGGAGCTGAAGCAAGCATCGGAACAGGATCCCACACTGTCTACCCTGCGCACCTACATACGCACTGGATGGCCAGCACATGTGCCGGAAGAGCTGGCGACTTTCGCCAGGGTGAAGCATGAACTTTCTTGCTGGGAAGAAGTCTGTGTCTCTCGAGGGTTTTGCACTGTGGTCCCGAGTGGCCTGCGTGCGCGTGTTCTATCCATGGCACACGAGGGTCACTTGGGCATAGTGAAGGTCAAACAGCGATGTCGAGACCTTGTGTGGTGGCCAGGCATCGACCACGACATTGAAGCCCTGGTCAGAAACGTCTGACCTCTGTGATTGCCAACAAGGGTTTTGCCACCAAGTACTAAGTCATGTTTTGCAGAGGGGTCAAATACTTATTTACCTCATGTTTTTCTGGATTTTTTTTTTTTTTTTTTTTTTTTTTTTGTTTGTTATTCTGTCTCTCACTGTTCAAATAAACCTACCATTAAAATTATAGACTGATCATGTCTTTGTCAGTGGGCAAACGTACAAAATCAGCAGGGGATCAAATACTTTTCCCCCTCACTGTATATGTTATACAGTATGTGCCAGAAAACTCATTTTCTTGCTGAAATAAGTGTAAAAATATCTACACTATTATGCTTGAGTCTAAACACTGGTAAAGCCTACCAAAGAAAATTGAATTTGTACAGTTATTAGTTCTGGGGGCTACGAAAGTTCAGTTGACGTACATCTTCATGAAAAACTAAACTTCAAAAGAAAAGAAAAAAACAGAATATCAACAATGCTTCAATCACTTTGTCTGGTACAATTATACAGTATGCTGCTATGGACTCGACATTGGTTATGTGTGAAAGATTTGATGTTCCTGTGCTTTACTGTGATTCATAAATAAATATTGTATGGGCTAAATCACACAACAGACTGCTATAAGCACAGTCTGTCAGACAATAGTACTGATTTTGTGCTTTCATTTAAGGATGTGTGTTTGTACGACAGGTAGGTTCTTCCCTTTTCTCATTGTGCACAGTGAAGAGGCTGGCCAACAGAAAACATCTGTCTACCAGGGGTTGAGAAACAACAAGGACATGGAATGAGAATTACATTTAAAAAGTTACAATCAGGCAACCTGCCCAAGTCGCAAAGTGAGGGAGACGCAATTCTGCACACCAGAACAATAGAATAAACATATGAAACACCAATGGTATTCACTAAGTTGGTTTATATTTAGGATAATATTTTACAGCTTTGTCATTCTATTTCCTTTTTGAAATAATTGTATTCAATGATTTCATATATAGTCCACACAGAAGGCCAGAGACTATTACAGACGCCTGTGATCATCTGAAGTACCCAAAAGGCCACTAGATGTCTTGTGATAGATTACATAAAATCCTTGAAAGATAACCAAATTCTGGTAGTTTACTGGTAAACTTAGAAAGTTTCCAGTAATATCCCCTCCCTTTGCAACCCTAATTACAAGCAGGTGGTATCCCACTGCTGGTATCAGTTCCAGCTGTGCTGTTCCATGGTTCCATAGGCTTTCACAGGTAGGACCCTTAGAGGGGGGTCATCCCCACCATAAACATTGATGTATGGAAAGCCTTTCTCAGTGAAAGTGTGTGTGAACATGTGTAGGTGTGTGTTCTCATCGGGATCAGAGAAAGACAGTGTTCCTTTGTCCCAGTCCAGCTGCACTCAGATCTTCCGGACCTGTTTCTTCACATGTCCGAGGTGATTGGAAGTTCCTGGATACCTCACTTCGAAGTATGTCGCTTCGTCTTCTCTGTTTCTTGTACAATTTTTACACCAGAATACACTGTCGTCTCCACTCTTTACAACACATTTTCTGTGGGCAGACTCAGAGACCCCCCAGATAACGTTAACACTCTTCACTGTCCCCAACCTAGCTGAGTTAAAGCCTTCAGATCCCAGGATGGCAGAAAATAAGACGGAATTGTCCATATCGTAGTAATTTTCTTTCAACCTCTCTGGGTTGTCAGGAAGCTGTTGGCTCTCACGGTCGCCGGCAATGGTCAAGGCCTCGTTTCCCAGATTCTTCGTAGCGTTAAGACCCTCTTTGTAACCTTCTTACCATGTATCTTTAGTAGCCGAGGTGTTTCCCAGAGCCTTCGTCAGTAACGTGGCTCTTAGAAACCTTCGCACATCTATGAGTGATCCAGGCCACTCGTAGAGCAGCCAAAGTGCATTGTTGGATGCTTTTTTTTGCCCTTTTTTTGCCCTTCCGCAGAAGATCTCCGCTAAGCATAGAATCAAGATGTTTTGGCTATCTGTCTGACTGTGACTGCCGAGAACTTCAGAACAAAGTTGACTATAAATACAAAGTTGCCAAAGTTTTTGCAATTGTTACAAACAAGTGAAAGATAAAAATGATGCTTCAAATGAAAACCGAAATGACTGCATTAAAAGATACATAGGCTACATGGGCCTATATAGGCTATTTCAATCATATTTAAATCAATTTCATGTTCAATCAATTTAGTTACATTTTGCGACTAGGCTACTGTCTGTAATTTTTGGCTCAATGTGTTTCATGATGTGTGACAACATGTGCGCAATGATGTGCCCAATCTGTGACGTAGTGCATTATTATAGGGTAAGCATTAGAATAAGCCGCCTCAATATTTGCCGCCATAGGCAGTAATATCTCTCTAGGACCTGATCCTTTCGTCAGTATTGTGGAATAATACTCATGTTAAGTAAGATTTGAAATGAGAAAGCTGATCCGAGAGCAGCGTTGCTTTTCTTTTGATCCTATCAGTATCGACGCATGGTCTAACGATGCACGAAGCAAACGTTCTCTCTACTTGCTTGTTTGGGAAACACTCTTAAAAAGTTGGCTTGTAAATAACGATGCATCTGGTACGATCATCGTAATGCTTAAGTTACATCGCAACTGGGAAAGGTGGCCCAGATTCTCAGACAGGTTGACATCACAGGAGGTTGGTGGCACCTTTAATTGAAGAGAATGGGCTCGTGGTAATGGCTGGAGCAGAATTAGTGGAATGGTATCAAATACATCAAATACATGCCATTCCATTTGCTCCGTTCTGGACATTATTATGAGCCGTTGTCCTTTCAGCAGCATCCTGTGGATGACATATTGGCTCGCAGTGTTGAGGTCCAGAAACACAGGAACTTCAAAGAGAGAACAACTCTTTAGATAACTATTGACGATAACTATTGACGCTCAATGCTTTATTTAGTCATAAGGCAATACTCACTGAATTGGACCATATTCCATATCTTCTCCCAGACTGTGAACTGCAGGTTGCCCAGGTGCTTTGCCACATCGATCAGCGCTCCTGAAACAAGATCTGGATCTGACCCTGTGTTCTTGGTTCTGGAAGATCAATAAAGAGTTATACTGCTGTGGGGTTGGGATCAGAACCATACAGAATAGAGTTATACTGCTGTGGGGTTGGGTTCAGAACCATACAGAATAGAGTTATACTGCTGTGGGGTTGGGTTCAGAACCATACAGAATAGAGTTATACTGCTGTGGGGTTGGGTTCAGAACCATACAGAATAGAGTTATACTGCTGTTGGGTTGGGTTCAGAACCATACAGTATAGAGTTATACTGCTGTGGGGTTGGGTTCAGAACCATACAGAATAGAGTTATACTGCAGTGGGGTTGGGTTCAGAACCATACAGAATAGAATTATACTGCTGTGGGGTTGGGTTCAGAACCATACAGAATAGAGTTATACTGCTGTGGGGTTAGGTTCAGAACAATGCAGAATAGAGTTATACTGTTGTGGGGTTGGGTTCAGAACCATATAGAATAGAGTTATACTGCTGTGGGGTTGGGTTCAGAACCATACAGAATAGAGTTATACTGCTGTGGGGTTCGGTTCAGGACCATATAGAATAGAGTTATACTGCTCTGGGGTTGGGTTCAGAACCATACATAATAGAGTTATACTGCTGTGGGGTTGGGTTCAGAACCATACAGGTTCAATCTGAACCATACAGGTTCTGAACCATACAGTGATGCTGATATTGTTTTACTCATCACCTCAATCTTCTCCTTCATCGTCTGACTCTTCTACTCCTCTTCCTCCCTCAGGGCAGCTATCCAGGCCTCCTCTTCCTCTCATAGGAACTGGTGAAGCTTCATAACCTCCTCCTTAATCTGCGTGCTGGGGAAGGGGGATATCTAGTCAGTGTCTTCCGCATTTAACCCAACCCCTCCGAATCAGAGAGATGCAGGGGGCTGCCTTAATCAACGTCATCGGCGCCCGCAGAGCAGTTATTGTGAGGTTTAACTGCCTTGCTCAAGGGCAGAACAGCAGATTTTTTTTCCACCTTGCCGGCTCGTGGATTCGAACAAGCAACCTTTCGGTTACTGTCCCAACGCTCTAACTGCTAGGCTAGCTGCCACTCTGGGCCTGGCTTTGGTGACAAAGTAACACAGATAATGTTGAGTTTTAACCCACTACAGAATTCCAGCTGAAGGAACAAGATGTAGCACCTTCTGTTTCCGGTAAGCAGGACTAAGGGGAGAGGGTCTTGGTGAGTGTACTGCATTGGCTTAAATAGAACTGCGTTTGTGAGCCATTTTGTATGAGCCACTATTGTTAGTGTATTCCATTTTGTGGCCACTTCAAAACAGTAGTAGTGCATCTGGTTAAACGTAATCACCTTTCTGAACTCTGCCATCTCCTCACAGGACTGTTGGAATTTGGAATGGAGCGCCAGTTTCTTCTTCAAGATCTCGACATCTGCCTTTATTCCCACCTGAAACAACAACAATACTAACAATTACAGATTTTTAGTAAGGGAAAAGATTATGGGTAAATACTGCCGTTCTTAAATTCCAATTAAGTTCAAATCCAAACCCTACAGATAAAAGGTTGGGTAAAAGGTTGCAGCTGTGGAGAAAGAAAAAAACGACTTGAGGCTGAATTCCATCTCCTCACACTGCAAACCCACCGGCCTCCATTATTTGTGACTGCAGAGAAAACTGTCAGATGAATATTTATATTTTCCGATTTCCTTGGTACATAAATTCCTGTAATGTCTGACATTTACTTCCCTGTGAGCCGGTTGGAGAACGCAGCCGAGCGACGCCTTGCCGTCTTCTGTCAGCGCGGAGGAAATATGGCGGAGAGAGGCGCCGCGTAAGAAGCTTGCTCATTGTCAGCATCCATCTGTTTGTTTCTGCACCAAAATGGTGGCTCCGAAAACAATAATTTCTCTCTTTAAAACGCATAAAAAATGCATGAAAGAAAAGGAAGCGATCGCCTGGGCTCCGGAGGCACTTAAGAGATGGAGGGCTTCTACACCCCAGGTGGATGGTTCATCGCAAAAGAGAGAATTATCCTCTTAATGGTATTCCCCATTATAATAAACGAATAGCATATATTGCTCCCCTAACTCCATACTGTTCCGAGACAGACAGACAAACACACTTAATGAGGTACATTTTGCTGAATAATGAACTTCGCTAGACACAAAACTTTATTAGTCGCAGGGGAGACAAACTGGCCGGGCAGGGAGGCTGGCTTGGCTATTGAATGAGCAATCAAACAGCACTCTGCGACCAATCAAGGGAGGGAGGGGAAAACAGTGGAGGGACTACAGACCCTAAACCAATCAATCAAAGTGAGCTAGCGGTGTCATTCTGTCACAGATAGGTGGTGATGCTGTGACACACCATGTCACACAAGCCTCTGGGACATATCAGGTGTTGGTTCTTCTCTCAAGGGGTGCTGTTGTCAGGTTACGGTCAAAGAAAATCCCTCCTGTGCGGTTCAGGGGTTGCGTTCTGGTCCTTTGCTACCATGGGCCCCGGTGGGGACCGTCGACTGATGAGGTCATTCTCAGTGGCGTAGGTGGAGGAGGAGGAGGGGGAGAGGGGTTGTTATGCGGTGGCGTGTGGAGCGAAGGGGTTCGTCTGTGAGTGGAAAGGGAACAGATTGACAAGCACTGCGGGCTGCTGCCACCGCTGCGGAGAGCGAAATGCACTTTTCCAAATGTCACCTTGCCAACCCCTTTCAAAAACAGACAGAAACAGAGAGAATGTGAAAGGCCTACAATTGTGATCGAGATGAACACGGCAGAAGTCAAAATCTGTCAGAAAGATTGTTGTTTCTTTCTCTTCCTTTGATTCTTCCTGACACGTGCCACTGGAGGAGGATTGATGTGAAGGCCACCACAGACCTCTTCTTCTTTCTTTCTGTGACAGTTTATCAGGACATCTTAAAGCAGAGGCCTTTCTTAATCCTCTAACAGGGAACACCACAAAGGAGGTTGGTGGCACCTTAATTGAGGAGGACGGGCTCGTGGTAATGGCTGGAGCGGAATAAGTGGAATGGTATCAAATACATCAAACACATGGTTCCCAGGTGTTTGATGCCAATCCATATGCTCCGTTCCGGCCATTATTATGAGCCGTTCTCCACTCAGCAGCCTCCTGTGGAACACCATGTGACTTGGCGAAGCGCTGCAACATTGGACCTGGCGCCCCACATCACATGGTGTAATAGAAGGTCCTTGTCAAACACTGCGTTGGCACAGGCAGCCCAATTAAAGTTTCAAGTTTCAAGTTTTAATGTTACGTGCACAAGTACAGTGAAATACCTTTCTTGCAAGCTCCAAACCCAACAATGCAGTAATCAATACCAATGTACTGTAGCACTAAAAATAACATAAGGTAGAACAAAAACACACAATAAATAAAAATAAGAAATAAGAAGAATACGAGAAAGTAAGTAAGCACACAGGGTCAGTCAGTTTCCAGTACCATATTTACAATGTGCAGGGCCACTGGAGTGGTAGGGGTAGATATGTATTGGGGTAAGGTGACTAGGCATCAGGATATACTGTCTGATAAACAGATTTAATTAATTAAATAACTCATGCCTCGGATACTGAATGGCTTAGACCCAGTATGAGCAACACAGCCATCCAACTGGACGCGGACTTCAATTCAACGTCTATTCCACGTTGGTTGAACGTAATTTAATTGAAACGACGTGGAAACAACATTGATTCAACCAGTGTGTGCCCAGTGGGATGTCTGTTCTATACATTCCACTTTCTGTAAACATTCTGAAACCCTATATGAATAAGCCTCTGGCAGGTTGACAGAGGAGCCTGTGACCAATCAATGCAGAGAGAGCGACGGCGCCAGGGACAAGACAGGTGACATATACAGTGGGGGAAAAAAGTATTTAGTCAGCCACCAATTGTGCAAGTTCTCCCACTTAAAAAGATGAGAGAGGCCTGTAATTTGCATCATAGGTACACGTCAGCTATGACAGACAAAATGAGAAAAAAAAATCCATAAAATCACATTGTTTTTAATGAATTTATTTGCAAATTATGGTGGAAAATAAGTATTTGGTCAATACCAAAAGTTTCTCAATACTTTGTTATATACCCTTTGTTGGCAATGAAACAAGTCAAACGTTTTCTGTAAGTCTTCACAAGGTTTTCACACACTGTTGCTGGTATTTTGGCCCATTCCTCCATGCAGATCTCCTCTAGAGCAGTGATGTTTTGGGGCTGTCGCTGGGCAACACGGACTTTCAACTCCCTCCAAAGATTTTCTATGGGGTTGAGATCTGGAGACTGGCTAGGCCACTCCAGGACCTTGAAATGCTTCTTACGAAGCCACTCCTTCGTTGCCCGGGCGGTGTGTTTGGGATCATTGTCATGCTGAAAGACCCAGCCACGTTTCATCTTCAATGCCCTTGCTGATGGAAGGAGGTTTTCACTCAAAATCTCACGATACATGGCCCCATTCATTCTTTCCTTTACACGGATCAGTCGTCCTGGTCCCTTTGCAGAAAAACAGCCCCAAAGCATGATGTTTCCACCCCCATGCTTCACAGTAGGTATGGTGTTCTTTGGATGCAACTCAACATTCTTTGTCCTCCAAACACGACAAGTTGAGTTTTTACCAAAAAGTTATATTTTGGTTTCATCTGACCATATGACATTCTCCCAATCCTCTTCTGGATCATCCAAATGCACTCTAGCAAACTTCAGACGGGCCTGGACATGTACTGGCTTAAGCAGGGGGACACGTCTGGCACTGCAGGATTTGAGTCCCTGGCGGCGTAGTGTGTTACTGATGGTAAGCTTTGTTACTTTGGTCCCAGCTCTCTGCAGGTCATTCACTAGGTCCCCCCGTGTGGTTCTGGGATTTTTGCTCACCGTTCTTGTGATCATTTTGACCCCACGGGGTGAGATCTTGCGTGAAGCCCCAGATCGAGGGAGATTATCAGTGGTCTTGTATGTCTTCCATTTCCTAATAATTGCTCCCACAGTTGATTTCTTCAAACCAAGCTGCTTACCTGTTGCAGATTCAGTCTTCCCAGCCTGGTGCAGGTCTACAATTTTGTTTCTGGTGTCCTTTGACAGCTCTTTGGTCTTGGCCATAGTGGAGTTTGGAGTGTGACTGTTTGAGGTTGTGGACAGGTGTCTTTTATACTGATAACAAGTTCAAACAGGTGCCATTAATACAGGTAACGAGTGGAGGACAGAGGAGCCTCTTAAAGAAGAAGTTACAGGTCTGTGAGAGCCAGAAATCTTGCTTGTTTGTAGGTGACCAAATACTTATTTTCCACCATAATTTGCAAATAAATTCATAAAAAATCCTACAATGTGATTTTCTGGATTTTTTAAATCTCAATTTGTCTGTCATAGTTGACGTGTACCTATGATGAAAATTACAGGCCTCTCTCATCTTTTTAAGTGGGAGAACTTGCACAATTGGTGGCTGACTAAATACTTTTTTTCCCCACTGTACATATGCCCCTGTGCCCATACATCAATCAGGACAAGCAAGGAGTTCCAATCCATGCCAGCTCACCTTTTCTCTGTCAATTCAATAAAGCTCTGTGAAATACAGGAAGGGAATTGTCCCAGGAAAATATTTCACTACGGTCTGTTCATATCTCATCGTCTCAGTAAAGTTGACTTCCGTATGCCAGTGGAACGGTGACATACAGAGGTAGACAGAGGGAGGCTGTGGAATATGATGGACAGGTTCATCAGAGTAGTGTTCAGACACTCTTTGTCTGT